CTTCTGTTGATGCGCAGCACTCAGCTGTGCCATGCAAAGCAACTAAGGTTGCTTTAGCAGGGAATAAAGGACAGCCTAGAGCCCGGACGGGTGGGTGGGCCCAACGAAAGAAAAGAGGATCTTCGGAGCGAACCAGTTTGGTGTCAGCTGCTCTTCGGAGTTACCGGTTCTATAGAACAGGGCCAAACCAGTAGAATCCCACCCCTGCCTACAATATAACTGAGATAAGAAAAGTAAATTGGAATAAATGAGGGGGAAAAAACTGCCATTCTTTTTCCATGTATTTACAAAAAATTAACTGGAGTAAGTGAGCACTGGAAACAATTACATATTCCATTGCATGTTCATAGCATAAGTCTTCCATCACAATACTGGCCATTTCTGCACAGCTGCAGGGATATCCACAGGGTGTTTAAAAAATTCAAAATGGAGGGGGTGAGCTCACTATTGAAACCCTGCTACTTTTTTGGTGCAACACACCATAGAAAAGGTATAAGGTTTTGATCGTGTGGTTGCCATCTTGATTATTATAGCATCTATATATGTATATTGTACACACACATACAAAAAAATCCTGTAATGGTGATAGATTGTATAGAAAGGTATCAGAGGTTCAAAAAAGGACTGTGTGTTCTACAAAAAAGAGAACTTTGCATTTGAACAAATTGCAAATCACTCTGTTCCCTTATATATATATATTTATAGTAAGTCTAATAAGTCAGGTTAATTGACTGAAGTTCTTTATTCCCACAGGAGAAACTGAAAGTGTGCCAGTGATTAACCCTGCAACACAGATTGCCCAGGTAAAAAAAAAAGCAAAATGCTGTAAAGAATCCCAACTATATAAGAATTAGCAAGGCTTTTGAAACCTCAAAGTATAATTCAAACTAAATTTAAAAAATCAACACAAAACAAACTAATCATAATCATTTGATATGTTAATTACACTAATAAGAAATAATTTTTATATGCAAAATATCATCCTTTCTCATTCTGTTTTATGGAGCTTACCTAGACTATAACTTCACTTTTTAGGGTATATTGCCCTTTTCCTATAATACCAAGTAGGAAGGGATTCTGATGCATATACACAAAGCTACCCCGTTGGATATCTACCAGAGCAAGGTAGCACAGAAATCTCAAGAAAGGGTAATGTTTAAAATCCACTATTTTCAATTGGATTTAAGGCTATTAAAATCATGACGAGATTATTGAAGCAGAGGCAGTAAAAGGGAAGAATAGAATCAGGAGATACCTAAACTACAGCTTTCAGCAGAGAATGTCTGTCCACCCTCTTCTTGAATACATTTGACAAATAGAACCCAATACCTCTGTAAACATAGGTGATAACCCTAAATGCATGTGCCCTCAAAATAATCTTGAGCACCAAGCCTCACATTACAAGTTTGTTGTTGCAGGACTTTGTGTAGGGTGGTTTAAGATTCTAGGTACCCCTGGCACATTTTTCAGGGGTTTGTAATTAAAAAGAAACAGAGGGATGGATAAAGAAACAAGTAGAATGAATAGGGGGAGAATATTTATTTAAAAATTTTTTTTTTCATAAATCACAGTAGTCTTGGTCTGGGAAAATGATGGATGACATGTAATACATATGTATCTGTACTTTTTATTGGACTTCCCCATTAACTATGCTGTCCTGAATGGAGTTTAGCAACTATTAGTGAAGTTCAGTATATGTTGTTTATTCCTTGCACTAGGAATGGTTTTAAATGCTTTTCAAGAAAGTTGTAAGAAATAAGGGAAAATATGTGTTTAGGAGGGTACATTTTAGCTGAGTTTATGTGGCAAAGGGAAAAGGGTTGCTTTTTTTTTTTTTGAGGATTTGGGTTCCTATTGCATAAAAAGCAACTGATTTTAATTAAGACATAGTTAAAACTGTCATTTTAAAAAAATACAGTAAAACCAACCACCACCACCTTTGACTTATTCACCTACTTTTCTGCTATCTAAGGGCCAAAGTTGAAACACTTTAAAGCCAAATCAACTTCCCCCCCAAAAAAAAGGGGATGAGGAAAACCTGGCAACTGTACTGTAGCATTATTGAAGTATTAGTAGCTTGTGATAAATGGCAACCTTCAATATATGAGTCAGAGGATTACTTTTGATACAGGGCATAGTAGATTTCAATTGTTTCATTTTGCTCATGCTTGGTCAATTTTTTTAGCTTCCTGATTGGATGACTGAAGACACCTGGGGTGTGTGGCAGTTTACATGCATTATTTTCTCCATTAACACACAAGAGTTCTGGATACTAGAGAGAGGATTGTACTATAGGATGGATGTTTACTAATTTCTGGAGTGATTGATTTCAGGTGAGGAACCTTGCTAGAATTTGGAGTCATCAAATCTGTCTGATGCTGAGATTGCAATAACTAGTAGAAAAACAATAATATAACAATATTTATATATAAATAATATAACAATATTTATTTATTTGTTTAAATAAATAAATAAATATTTTAGAAAGAATGCAGCGCTTCAATGCAATCCCAAGAAAGGCTGCTGCTTCTAGAATAGAAGCAGTTTCTAGTGTGAATTTTAACTGAATAGGTAAAACGGATGTTAACCCTTCCACTTAAGAGTATTGTGGCATGGTAAAAGAGTCAAGATTGAAGCTCCATCACTTTTTATTTATTTATTTATGTTTGTGTATGTGTGTGTGATATATGCAACACACCTAAAAAGAGATCTTGTGATTGCAACAGCCACACTGATTTTTTTCATCCTCTTGTAGATATCCCAGCTTTTCCCATCTCACCCTTTTCATTTATTTCAATGTGTTTATAGTCTGATAAATTTTATAAGATAATAAATCGGACAAATTGATATCAAATATGTAAAATCATTTTTGCATTGAGTGTAGCCATGCTAATTCTTGGTTGCTCAAAATCTGACTGCTAATTTATGTTTCGATATATTAAAACATATAATTCTATATGTGTATGTCTGTCTGTCAGATATGTGCACATTTCACTCAGGATTTAAATTATGTAAAGGAAAGCAGGTGGCTGTTCTGAACATTCACAAATGTTGCCTATTCAGTCTTTACTTTCAGTATAGCCACCAGAAGGCTGATAAAAACTGTGAATAAAGGTCATATTGCAATAGATAGTTGTGTCATCCTGTCTGTAATTCAAGGCTATCAACTTGTTTTGAATCTACTAGCCTGGACTATGCATTACTTGTTACAAGTGTAGACCTGTACAGTTTATTCCCTGTAAATTGAACCCAGCTGAGCAACTTTTAACTGCAGCCTCCTAAGGACATGATGAAAACCAATTCAGTGTGGTAGTTAAAGCATCAGGCTAGAAACTGGGAGACCATAAATTCTAGTTCCCTTGGCCATGAAACCAGCTGGGTGACCTTGGGCCAGTCACTTTCTCTCAGCCCTAGCAAGGAAGCAATGGCAAACTACTTCTGAAAAACCTGCCAAGAATACTGCAGTGTTCAGGCAGTTTCCAAGAATTGGGCATAATTGAATGGAAGGTTTTAAAAAAGGACATGATAATCTACATCCTGATTAGACTTTCACACCATTTTTGTTCCATGATTAGAAGTCCACTATGCATAGCTGATGAGCTGCTATGCCGCCTGGTTAGGTATGAAACTAGCTAGTGTAGTGTAGTAGTTAAGATGTTGGACCAGTAATGGGAAGATCCTGTTATGTATTAACATACTTACCTGCAATTGGTCGGTTCGTGGCGGTGGGAAATTTAAAGAGCCGTCACTGGCCACAACCGCGAGCAGCCCGACTGTAAAAGGGCTGCCATGGTTTCTTTGGCGCTCAGTCCTAGAAGGAAGTAAAGACAACTGATTATCATGCTAGTGTCCTGAGTCTCAATACCATGATTTAACACTAGCGACGAGGATGGGATTCTGAGACAAAGGGAACCAGCGAGCATGTGGTGACTGACAAACACCGGCAACGTATCGAGACGAAATGGCCGGAAACAACAAGCCACCAGCACTGTTCGATCCAGCAACCGAAGACTGGGAATCGTACATCGACCGATTCCTCATGTTCCTTGAAGGGAGCAACCTCAATAATATATCCAAACACAGGAAGAGCCATCTTCCTCACACATTGAAGTCCTGCGGTATTCAAGATGGCCAAAGCATTAGCGGCACCCACCGATGTGAAAACGATGGCCTGGCCGGACCTTGAAAAAATACTGAGGGCTCACTACACACCAACCATTTCCTGCCTCATCAAATGACACCAATTTTATCCATGTGACCAAAAAATAGACGAGAGCATTGGCAATTTTGTTGCAACTCTGAGGGAGATTGCCGGAGCGTGCAAATTCCTAAACATGGATGAAGCCATGAGAGACTGAGTGGTCCTGAGGGTGAGAGATCTTACACTACCGGGTCGATTATTAACAAAACCCAAAATAACACTCAAAGAAGCAATAGAAGAGGCTACTGCAGCAGAAGCAATGCAGAAATCAGCAGCCGCCATGCGGAAAATGAATAAAGCACCATCGGAAAACCCTAAAAACACCACCACAACCCACCATGAGGACATCGAGTCCACATTGGAAGACGACAAGGATGAAGAAGGGGTAAATCAACTCAGTTCGGAACAGGGCAGAAGGGACTGGAACAGAAAAAGAAAGGAATTTCATTGTGCCGGCTGCGAGGGGAACCATCCACATTCTGAGTGCCATTTCCTAGATGCAACCTGCAAACATTGTGAACAGCAGGGACATATTTCTAGGGCATGCTGAGCAAGAAAAAACTATGGCCCTAGACAAAGATGGATACACCCCCCAAGAGAGGGAGAGACAAACAGGGAGCCATTGGAATCAAGACAACAGAAACAGGCGAGGGAAAGAGACAAGCAACAGAAGAGATGAAACACACCAGACAGTGACCATTGGATACTCCAACACAACAAACGCCAGGAAAGTATATGTCCAGGTACAATAGAGGGGCAACCCTGTCGGATGGAAGTGGATTCCGGGTCATATTTATCAATGGTATCATGGGACACTATAAAAAGATTGATACCCAATATAAACCGGGAAGAACTCGAAAGACAAACACTGACGCTGAAAGACGACCAAGGGAACAAAATACCCATAGTGGGCACTGGACAATTCAAGGTAACATTCAAAAAATACACCAGAGTCCTCCCACGAACTATAGTCGACTGGAATCGGCCAAGCCTACTGGGACTCAGATGGTTTGCACCATTAGGAATCAAAGTCACAGGGATAAACAGCATCACTGAGACAGAGTGGGAAGAGGACCTAATGGAAGAATCCCGAGATGTGTTCAACGGAGAGCTGGGCAAGTACTGGGGGTCCCCAATTTCCTTTCACCTAAACCCAACCATAGCCCCTATAGGGTTAAAGGTGAGGTGGGTTCCTTTTGCATTAAAACCAAAGATCGATGAGCAATTGGATAAACTCATCACACAAGGGGTTCTAGAACCAATTGACTACGCAAAGTGGGAAACCCCAATTGTTACACCAATTAAATCAGATGGGTCTGTGCGCATCTGTGGGGACTACAAAGCAACCCTTAACCACACGCTCCAACAAAGCACGTACCCTGTCCCAGTGGTACAGCATCTATTACATTCCCTAGGTTGGGGGGGGGGGGGGGAAATCCTCGCGAAACTAGACCTCACACAGGCCTACCAACAATTACCCATTGACCCCGAAACAGCAGAAGCCCAGACAATTGTGATGCACAGGGGGGTATTCAAATGCAACAGATTACAATTTGGCATCAGCGTTGCCCCAGAGGTGTTCCAGAGCTTAATGGTACGCCTATTGCAAGGGATAAAAGGGGTGGTGCCATACTTCGATGATGTCCTCATATCAGCCAAGGACAAAGAACAATTGTGAGACCACCTAAGGGAAGTCCTAAATAAATTCAAGGAGGCGGGACTAAAAGTAAAAAAGGAGAAGTGCCAATTAGCTGTTGGCAAAGTTGAATTCCTAGGATACCTTATAGACAGAGAAGGAATCCACCCCACAGAAAATAAAATCAGAGCAATCAAGGAAGCCCCCAGACCCACGAATAAAATTGATCTGCAAGATTTCATAGGACTCATTAACTTTTATAATATATTCCTACCACAGAAAGCAACCATTGCGGAACCACTATACAAAAAAGCAACCTGGGCCTGGGGCCGACGGGAAGAAACGGCATTCCAGGAAATAAAAAACTTGATCACATCAGACCGCATACTAATACAATACAGCGAAACACTCCCAATAACCCTAACCTGCGATGCATCACCTTTCAACGTTGGCACTATCCTCAGCCACGTATTACAAGATGGGAAGGAAGCACCCATAGCATTCTATTCAAAAACCCTGTCAAAACCGGAGCGGAACTACAGCCAACTAGACAAAGAGGCATTGGCCGCTGTCACCGGAATAAAGCGTTTCCATGAATATATCTATGGGAGAACTTTCACACTAGTCACAGACCACAAGCCACTCCTGGGCGTCATCTCAGGAAACAAAGCTACACCTAACATACTGTCACCACGAATGACCCCGTGGTCAGAATTCTTGGCTGCCTACAACTACAAATTAACATACCAACCTGGAAAAGACATAAATCATGCTGACACTCTTAGCTGTTGCCCTCTACCTGACATAGAAGACGACCCAGCACCAACCACATTGACCCTCCAAATAGAGACATTAGAAAACCTACCCATAACAGCAGCAGACATCGCTAGGGAAACAACTAGAGACAAAACCCTGGCGCAAATTTTTAATTGGGTAGGAAAAGGATGGCCAGAAACTGAGATCGACAAGACTGCCAAACAGTTCCGGAATAGACAAACAGAACTCTCAATCCTGAAGGGGTGCATACTATGGGGGGATTTGGTGGTCATACCGGACGTTTTAAGGAAAAGCATACTAGAGATGTTACATGAGGGACACCCGGGTATTGTAAAAATGAAATCCCTGGCAAGGTGTTATGTATGGTGGCCAGGGATGGATAAGGAAATAGGGGACTGGGTGGCAACATGTAAACACTGCCAGGAATCTAGGCCAAAACTCCCCACAGCACCAAAACATGAATGGGAAACACCAAGGGGACCATGGTCAAGATTACACATTGATTTTGAGGGCCCAACCAAAGGACACACATTTCTAATAGTTGTAGATGCTTAGTCTAAATGGCTAGAGGTAAGCATCATGCACTCCACCACAACAGAAGCCATCATACAGCCATCTGACAACGGGCCACAATTCATGGCAACAACATTCGAGGGATTTCTAGCACAACATGGGATAAGGCATGCACTGACAGTGCCGGGGCACCTATCCACGAATGGACATGCAGAACGCATGGTATATTACACAAAGGAAACATTACAAAAGCTGCAGCCTGGGGACACAAGAAAAGATAGATAAGCTTCTAAGCATACAGCACATGACACCCAGTGCCACAACAAATAAAAGCCCAGCGGAGTTACTAATGGGGAGGAAACTAAGATCACACCTAGACAGACTACACCCCACATATAGCCCAGAAAAAGCAGCAGACTCCCCCAGTAATTGCTGCACATTTCAAACAGGGGACCCAGTATATGCAAAAAATCTTACGAGGGAACCATTGTGACCCAGATAACTGGAGGGAACCAGTGAAAGTGACCCAGATAACTGGACCCCATTCGTACAGGGTAGACACCATGGATGGGAGGAGCTGGAAGAGGCACATAGACCAGCTCAGATCTAGAGTTACGAAGGGTGACCCAAACCGACCCATGGAAGAGGGGGGGAGACCCCTCAAACAAAACAAATCCAGGGAAGAAGGGGGAGACCCCTCAGACATGACCATAGGGGAGGGGGGAGATCCCTCAAGCAAACAAAACACAAGTAGAGAGGGAAGGGGAGACCCTCCATGAGCAAGAAAAACAACAGAACAAATCCTGACAACTATACAACAACCACTACTAACATTAGTCCTGGTTGGAAAATGCAAACACGTACCTGAGACTAGGGAAGAAGGTAGACCGGGGAGACAGGAACAGGTCCAGAAGGATAGTGGGAAAGCAGCCTCTGGTGGGAGAGGCATGGCTGACTCAACCTTCCAGGAGGTTCCAAGAAGACGGACGGGAGAAACAACAGATCTGCCTGAACAGTCCAGAAGCCAAACCATGACTTAGCTGCGCAGGTCCAGTCAGACCCATAAAAGCCCTGCCTACCTACGTGATTACATATGGTAGGCGAGGCTCAGATTAGTTGGACCGGACCAGGTGGGGAGGGGTGTTATGTATTAACAAACTTACCTGCAATTGGTTGGTCCGTGGCAGCAGGAAATTTGAAGAGCCGTCACTGGCCACAGCTGCAAGCAGCCCAACTGTAAAAGGGCTGCCATGGTTTCTTCGGTGCTGAGTCCTAGAAGGAAGTAAAGACAACTGATTATCATGCTGGTGTCCCGAGTCTCATTCCCGCGATTTAACAGATCCCAGTTCAAGTCTGCTCTTGGTCACAGAAGTTCACTTGATGGCTTTGTGCCAGTTATGCACTCTTAACCATACCTACTTTGCAGGATTGCTATGGGGAAAATATTGGAAGAAGGATTGCTATGTATATTGCCTTAAGTTCCTGAAGGAAAGGTAGAATAGAAATTTAACAAATAATGATTTAAAGTAATGTTGTCTTTTAATGAACCTGTAATCCCTTGCATCGGGGTGGAGTTGGGGCAACTGAATGGAGTTGAATGTTTACTGGCCGGATGCCCTTCCTGTCTCCAATGCAGAGTTCCCAGCTGATATTTACTCATTGTGCCCAGAGAGTGAGAGATATCTGCCGCTACCTAGGATCGAACTCACAGCCTCCTTATTGTGAGGCAAGAGCTCTGCCTCTAAACCGCTGCACCACTCTAATGATTTAAAGTAATATCAGATTTAAAAGAAGAGAATAATATTTTTTCAGGATATTTCCTAGTTCTTATAGCTATGAAGAAAAAATGGATATATATTAAAATATAAAAACACAAAATGATTTTTCAAGGATCACTCTAGTATTTTTTTTTTTACTGGGAACACCTGAAGTATATAGATGCTGATCAGGCAAACAGGTTGTCTTGCACAGCGTTCTGCTTCCTACATCTGTTCATAGTATTGCTGCTTCCTAAAAGCTATGGAATACTTTATAGTTGAGAGACGATGACAGTGCATACCACATCCTAGAGGGCAATAAGCCCAGCCTTTTATTATTTATTGCTATTTATTAAATTATTATGCCAGCCGTCTCCCCTATAAGATGACTCTTTTCTTCCATATTGCTTTCATTTAGAATAGAATAGAATAAAACATTATTGTCACTTTAAATGTATACTAATCAGCATGCATTAAAAATGAAATTTCATTGCATTCAGCTCTCAAAAGATAACCATTATGCATGTACCCACATACACACATATATATGACATAGAGGAATATCACAGTCTAGTTCTAATGTGTACATATATATGGTGGAAAAAAAAACGATTCTGAAAATTTACAAGATGGATGGCATAAGGAACAAAGCTGTTACAGAATCTAGTAGTCTTGCTACATTTGGTACAGATTGTAATCTGTGGGTTGGAAGTTTTTGAGACATGGTAGAAAATTATCTTTTCCATCTGGAGAATGAAGAGTGGAAGGCATATATATGCATTTCTCCTGAAACAGAAGCATGATTATGGGAAGATACCTTTTTCCTGTGATTTGCTAGGTGCTTAACTTTTTTGGTTACGACTAAGACACCATCATTGAATTGCAGGTGGTGGTAATGAGAGTGCAAGGAGTGTGTTTAGAGGCAGATCTGGAAATCTCTCCATTTTGATCAGCCTTTGCAAACCTCCCTCTTCAGTGTGAAAACTATTTCTAATATACTTAAATGACTGGTTGAAGTTAAACACTGAAATACATTTTGCTGGAGGAATTATAGAGATAAGATTGGCTATGGAGGACCACCTACCCCGATAATGGCGAACCTATGGCACACATACCACAGGTTGCACGCAGAGCCATTTGTGTGGGCATGCGAGGCCCAGCCAAACTTACCTGCACTTCGCATGCGTGTGTCTCCCAGCTGATTTTCAGCCCATTTGAGGTCTTTTTCGGCCTCCCAGAGGCTCAAGAAAAGCCTCTGCTGCTTTTGGAGGCCAAAAAACAGGCCAGTTTCATCACTTCTGGTATTTCCTCAAACGAGTCGAAAATCAGCTTGGAGACATGTGCATGTACAGTGCAGGTAAGGAGGTGGCAAGGGGGGATTGTGCGCCCATGCGCCGGGGGTGGGGGATCCTCACACACGTTGCCTTCTGGGTGCTGGCACATGAGTGCGTCTGCAATTTTCGGCATAGGAACCCCAAAAGGTTAGTCACCACTGACCTACCCCCATCAGGGGGAAAGGAAAAGCCAAGATGTCTTAGCTGGTAATTGACTAGAAAAAGAGGTAGGATAGTAAAAACTTGCACCTCAGTAAGATTAGTACCGTTTGTAAGAAATGTCTAATTCTGTGGGAGAAGACATGCTGTAGAAATCAGATTCACTTCCTGATATGTCAAATAGAAAAGTTGGAGAGAAGATAATGGATAAGATCTTTCTCTGTAGAGATTCTAGAAAATCACAGCTCAGACTTTTTTACTCTGCCTGAAAATTTGTTTTGGTTGTAACATCCGTAAACCACAAGTGGCCTACTAGTGTTGTTGCTGGAGTTAATGAAATTGTAAGCCAGTATTTGCGGAAGAATAATGGTGGAAATAATTATAGACTTGATGAACTCCTGGATTATAGCTCTCCACCCACATTTCTATAACCCCCAAAGCTACTCCTGTTATTAATTAAACGGAACATTAAATGTTATTTTGACATGAGAAACAAAAGGGCTTATGGAAGACCCAAAATAGGTTTAAGGCAATGTTTTTAAATGAAAGAACAAAATAAAAGCCATGCCACCTTAACACTTTTAATGGTTGCCTTCACCCTCCCAAAATACTATATCAAGCCCCTTGTCGCTAGTTGCACATTATAGAGGAAATGTCATAATTAAGAGAAGACTATATGAGTTAAATAATAGAATCCATCTTGTTTTCCAAGTCACTGAGAATTTATATGGGTTTTAACTCATCAGTTGCAGGCTCTGGCTTCTGAACTTAAAAGTAGCTTCACTGAAGCAATGCAGGAACTTTCAAGAATTCAACATGGAGAGTATGCTCTTGAGGAGAAAGTTCAAAGCTGCCGGTGTGCAATGGAGGAAAAAGTGGCCGAGATGAAAAATTCTCTAAATGATTTCAAGGTAGGCATGCAAGTATTCTGGGGCACTAGTTTTTGAAGGTCAAAAACAGATGGTCTGCTACATGATACAATGAAAAAGGAGAATTGAAAACCAGATCAGAACTAATAGCATAAGGGGTAGAACTGCAGTGGTGGTCATATCTACAAATACAGTCGTGATACACACAGGATGTAAAAACATGGGGCATCAATAGAGAATTAACAGCATTAGATAAAACTGTTAGTAGGGATTGATGATAAATTCATTAAGGTGATATATATCACCTATTAAACTATAAAATGGAGGAAGAAGAGGTTAAAGAAACTGGTGGTATGGGCCAAAAATTTTGGGTATAATATTGAATTGGCTAGATGGCAGAATCTTTGGGAAAATAATAGGAAATTAACATTGGCCACATCATATAAGGAAAATTTACGCAAAATATTTTATAGGTGACATCTTTCTCTGGCAAGGCTGGCCAAAATGTCTAGAAATTTATCACCAAAATGTTGGAAATGCAAGGATCTACCAGGCATTTACTATCCTATGTGGTGGACATGCAATCACGCAAGGAAATATTGGCAACAGATTCAGAAATGGCTAGAGCAAACGGTGGGAGAACATGTACAATTTAAGCCAGAATTATTCCTATTAGGAATAATAACAGAAAGTTACAGTAAAGGCTCAACATATTTAATACTACATAAACTGACAATGGCAAGAATGGTTTATGCACAACAATGAAAGAATGAAAATATGCTATCAGAAAGACAGATAATAAGAAAAAAACTGGCTTATGCAGAACTTGATAGACTAACTTTAGAATTGAAAAATAAGGGGGAAACAGAATACCATGATACTTGGAATAAGTTCTGTCAGTGGTTGCAAAAGAGACGTGGAGGTCGGAATAAAAAGCAATCAGGATCAATAGATCTAGAATGTGATGTGATAGAGGATTTAATCGAATAGGATGGTCAAAACAACTATAACAAAACCAATATTGTACAAATAATATGAATGTTAATTGTTTAACGGTGCCCTAGTATGTATGGCAGAGTAATGCCAGGACGGATGCACTGCGTTTGATATTTGCATTTGGAAGCATGGCGATGCAGAAGGTTGAAAAAGTACAAAAGGACTACTTACTGACAAGGAGATGGCCTGGTGTGTGTTGAACAATTGTTATTAACAATTAGTGTAGCAAACAATAGACTAATTTACCTTTGTGTTTAATTATAACAGTATTCTATGCTATCCCTAGATAAATTAGCTTCTCTCAGCCTTCTTCACATAACATGAACCATTTGAAAAAGGAGTGGACAGATTTATTGCAAAGTGGGCTGTTTTCCTTCTCTTTCTCCTATGATTCATAGTTCTGAGTTTTCTTAGTTATCCATAACTCAGGCAGTCTCTTTCTTTTTTTATCAACTCAATTATTCGCAACTAAGAAAATGTTTCAATATACAGCTTAGTAATATTTGGGTAATTTAAGATCCCAATGATTGCATAATACTTGCTGCTGATGAGAGAAACTAATTTTTTCTCGTCTCTTTCATTAAAAAAAATAATTCCAAAAATAATAGTGGAGAAAGAGGTGGTACATGGCTGCTGCATCTACTGTATTTTATTTTCTTCTTCTACAACACAACACGCACAAAAGTGAAAGAAGGAAAGGAAATTTACCCACTAGCCACAGAGAAAACACAGTGGTCTCTGTCCTGCCAACCCTTCATCTTCCATTTGAATTCCTGTCATCTTCTATCTCATGCTGACTTCACCTTCCTTTTACAAATGGGACAAATGTAAAGCAAACTAAATATTGGGCACACCCCTATTTTTAAAATCCTTTTAGGATATGCTAGGATAGATGACGTTATCATTTATACGACAAGTAGACGGACCATGGAACCCACACCATTATTAAAAAACAATAGTTCAGCTTTTCAGTACAATTCCAAAATGGGAGCTGAGGAAGGATATGTGTTTTTATTGTAGTAATTAGATTTACTACTGAAATGATATATATTTATAAATACTTCTTTCTGACTTGGTGTAAATAATTACAAATCTGTATTGTTTTTCCTGTAAGAAAGAGTTTAAATGCAAAGCTGCAAACTTTTTCATGTCACCCATCAAAAGTTGCTATTTTTTGAAAAGGAGGAGCTTAATGATGCCAAATCTATGATTGAGGAAATTAGCACCAAACAAGAAGAGATGCAGCAAAAAATTGAGCAGCTGCAACAAGAGAAACGGAAGGAATCTCGGAAGCTCAAAGTAAAGTAAGTGACCAATATTTTTCAAAGCCCTTTATAATTTCACGACAGCTTTGCTTTACAGCTCTTCTTTTCTCTTATCTAATGTATTAGAACCAGACTTTTCAGGAGCTTGGGGGGAGAGATAGAATATAAGAAAAAGTAAGTATTTAATGTAATATTTAACTTTATTCCACTGAACCCCAGCTCCTACAAAGTCTGATTCCAATATATTCTATAAGAGAAAAGAAGGGGGGGTCCATCTAGCTGGTTGAACACAAGGGTGGGTGCCATATTGATGAAGTTATATATTTAATTTAGCACATTTATTCAGCTAAATTGACAAGAGGACTGGCAACATGTTCAAGAAAGTGGCTGAGGGATCATTGTGGCTCCTGGTCTCCGATTAGATGCTGTGCTGCATGAAGAAAGCAGTGCAATACCAAGTTAGCCATAATCAATGGATTTAATTTTCTAGTTTCATATGGAACATTACTATTAATATACTGTAACATATAAGGAGCCAAAATTGTGTTTATTGATATTGCTACAACTTTTAGAGTACTACAGTGTCATTGATCTGAGATCCAAGGCAGCCATTGTATCTTCTAAGAGAAATCTCTTGGCTTTCTTGCTTTTTAATATTTTTTTTTCCCTCAGAAGGATTCAAAAAGAGGAGCATGGTTCCCAGACTGTGCCTACTCCTCTGCAAGGAAGCCCCTTTCGAGCCCTGAAACTTCCAGAGCCAGTTTTAATTAATGAAGATTTTGTCAAGCTGTTGCACAATGCAACGTATGAGAAAGGTATTGGTTTTATTGGCTTATATATCCTGTTCTATTATGTATACTAGAGAGCGATTTACAGTATACAAAAGGGCCTTCCTCCCTTATTTCTGTTCTCCTGTTCTCCTGAGCCTTTGTTTATCTGGAGGAGCTATACACTAGGCATGGTAATCTTGAGACAGCAAATTGCCCAGTATTTTTGTTTATTATTGGAGCTTAATCTTCGGGGAAACAAAGGGCCATTTTAATGCTTTGATATGTGTAATAAAGAAAAACATTTTATATCCCCACTGCTTCAAAAAGATGCCTATCTGTCTCTTCAATGAGAGGCGCATAGCATAAAGTATGGTATGTTTCAATAAAGGAGAATATTTGTAGGTGAGGGTTGAAATGAGGGGACCTTTGGTGCTCTCTGAGCTTGTTTTCTTGCAGATGTTTCATATTGCAATGTTTGCTTAGGATGCATACTTCTATATCCATCTGAAAATGACTGTGTTCATGGTGTACAATTCTTTTCATACACATTTGCTCCTCTTTGGGAACTCTTTTCCCTAACAATTTTGGCTAATATTTGCTGAAGGACAGGCTGTTGTTAAACCGAGTACAGCTGCCATCAAAATATGTTTTAGTATGGTACAATGTGTACTTTCTAACACAGGAACATTTAATTCAGACTACAGAGGTTGCCTTGTATGTATAGGGGACTGTGGGGGGGGATGACAAACAGTGAAAAATATAGCCTTTTTTGATAGAGACTTCTTTTCCTAGGTAAATATAACAAAAACAAAAGGCTAGATAGTTAGACTACCGAGGGAGGAGGGAAGAAATACTAAGAAATGTACAACAGAGAAACTATTGCTTTGGCTTTGGAGAGTGCATATGGAAGAGAAACTATAACAACAACAGGAAATCTGATAGGAAAGTAAAATAAAGAGAGCAAAATTAACAAAGGACTCCCCAAAAGAAGAAGAATGTAGTTCCTAGTTCTGTACTGGTGAATACCTGTGCTGAAGCAAGATTCACAAAAGGGAGTAGTGTTGTTAAAAAGGGAATTTCCAAAAGATTAAAAAAGAAAATAGCAATAGCACTTAACAATAGTTCTTAGACTTATATACCACTTCACAGTACTTTCCAGCCCTCTCTAAGGTGTTTACAGAGTCAATATATTGCCCTCAACAATCTGGGTCCTCATTTTACTGACCTGGGAGGACGGAAGGCTGAGTCAACCTTGAGCCAGTGAGAATTGAACTGCTGAACTGCTGACAATTGGCAGTCAGCAAATTTGCCTGCAATGCTGCATTTTAACCATTGTGTCATCATGGCTCTCTTTACTAAAAAGGAATAAAAGCTTATTTTCTTTTAGTAAAGATAGAGAAATTTAAGTACAGTTTAAAGTCCTTTTGCAGGAAATCACTCAACATTTCCAGAGTATTAGTTACCATCTGCATATAATAGTGTGACTATTCACAAAACAGAAGACGTTTGGATATTGATGCTTTGAAAAAGTCCTGCATTATTGGATAACAGGACAGTTGTGACCTTGTCCCTTATCTCTTTATTAATTAACTTTCTAATTATTTTCCCAAGCAGATTAATATATTATTCTTTTAATTAGACAATATCTGAATTGCCCAGCAAAAAGATTACAGTAATAGAGCCATGTATCATTCCTTGAAATGAAGTGAGTTTAAGGGTATCAATAGCAATATAATTTAATATAAGTGAGTTTAAGGGTATCAGTAGCAGCTTGGATACAATCTTATGCAAGTCTTTATAAACCATGCAAGTCTTTATAAACTATACAACCATGCAAGTCTTTATAAAGGAGCGGCCATTCTAGGAAATAGAATTTTCCATTCATTCAGAGTTTCTCAACCTTAGCAACTTTACAATGTATAGACTGCAACTGCCAGAATTCCCCAGTTAGCACTGAAGTTGAGAAATGCTGTACTAGATACATAATAGGTATTACTGTAAAATGTATTGCAGTAATAACTTTTAGAACACATTACTATAACAAATTTCATCGGGTATTTTGATGAGCTGGACTTAAGCAACTAATTTGGAATTATTAGAGTTAGGAACCAAGATTCCTGGATAACATCAATTTGGCAGATAATTTTCAAGTGCATTTGTTCTACTTTTTGTCCAAATTTTGTCCACATTTGCACTTTCTTAATTTAGATACGTTATTTCCAATTGGTCTTTTCACACAAGCAATCAGTAATGAGGAGTCAAGCCTGAAATTCACAGAAACTAATTCTAGAAACCAAAATTTTGAAATGATTTTTCTCAATTTAAATCTAAGCCTTTGTAAAAAATTTGTTTTACTGATCTTTCCTTGCATGTAACCTAATAATCTCCTGTTTTTGCTCAGTTTCTGATTGCATGCCTAGAACACTAGGAGAAAGCAATATGAGAGGTGAGTAGATATGCATTTTTTTATAATAATGTTCTCTGATAACTGTTTTCAAGAAACCTGTAAAACACCAACATCATTGATGAATAGTGTTGTATAATTCTGTATGTTCTGCCTATTAAACAAAGGCAGCAAACTTTATAAGATGCAGGCCCAGGAACTGGGGTTTCAAAGTTTTCCTGCTGATATAGAGAAACAAGTTTTCTTAGCATCTGTACAACTATTTCCAAATACCATCATCTAGGTAAGTCCTGCCAGTCTATGATGTAATTTGGCTTATTAATAATTAGTAGGTATTTGTTTTGTTTGAGCAATGAGAGGCTGAACCAGAGCATGAGTGCAACAATACTTTATTTTACAATAAAGGGCTGACCGTGCTTGCCAAGCCTGGAACTGGCTCGCAGCAATCAGCAACCGGTTGGACCCCGCAGCCTGCTTTTATAGCTGGCTGCTGGGGAGAGCCAACCAATGGGAATGGGGGAATAACGCCCACGTAAAGAGAGTGGACCTGAGTGAGAACTCCTTGAGTCCTCAGGACATAACACCCCTTCCCCCCAGATGCGAACATGCATAGTCCTTTAGGTAGACGGGGGGTTTGTGTTGGCGCCCGGAACGGCGCAACTCGGGAACATTGTCTGTCTGTTCGGTACCAGTCTGTGATGGTCGAGCTGGCATAGTGTCGCCAACACTCTCTCTGGACTGGGCATCCTCGGGAACCACCGGGTTGGTTACTGGGGTCGAGCTCTCGTGGGTTGGATCAGGCTGGTCAACTCTCTGGGCGCTGTTGTCCGAGTTTGGGCTGACCGGAACGACCGCTGGTGCAGACTGGTTGCTGGGTACGATGTGGCTGGGCGGCGGATGAGGCGGTTCCCCTTCGACTGGAGACTCTGGATTCTTGTTGGCAAGGGTGCTGAGGCGCCTTCTAAGCTGGTCTATGTGGCTCCTCCAGACGCGACCATCCTCCAGCCTGACTCTATACGATCTCGGCCCGGTGATGGCGATGACCTCGCCTGGAATCCAGAGTGGGTCCCCAGCGAAATTTCTTGCGAATATCGGCTCCTGTAACAAAAAATGTCTAACCCCCGAAGTAGAAGCGAGGGGAGAGTCAGGGCAGTATTGTGGGTGCAATCTGTCCAATACAGTCCTCAGGCGCCGGCCCATCAGAAGTTCCGCTGGGGACTTATTGGTGACTGCACAGGGGGTTGAGTGCTGGCTCATCAGGAACCGTGCGAGTCTGTGGTGCCAGTCATCCCTGCCAAACCTAGCGAGGGCCTCTTTGGTGGTCCTGACGGCCCTTTCAGCCAACCCATTACTGGCAGGGTGAAATGGGGCTGTGAAAATGTGGCGAATGCCCAGGTTGGCAGCAAAACGGCTGAATTCTACTGATGCGAACTGTGGGCCATTATCGGAGACAATGGAGTCGGGTAGTCCATGTGTAACGAACAGGCGCGTTAACACGTTGGTGATTGCTAGTGTGGTGGTCGTGGATAGCTGTGCCACGTCTATCCATTTGGAATAAGCGTCCACGACCAATAGGAACATCTTTCCATGCACGGGGCCTGCCAGATCAATATGGATTCTAGACCAAGGGGCGTTGGCACTCTCCCATCTGGTAGGGGTGGCGATGGGGGGAGCAGGACGGGATTCCTGGCAAATGCTGCAGGAACTTACCCAATTGACAATGTCCTCGTCTAGACCCGGCCACCACACGTAGCTGCGTGCTAATGCCTTCATTCTCACAATGCCGGGGTGTCTCTCGTGCAACGCCTCCAGGACTCGGGTACGCAGCGAGGTCGGAATGACCACTCGAGTGCCCCACAGTAGACAACCCTGCAAATTGGACAGCTCCTGCATGCGAGTCTTAAAGGGTGCGAATTTGTTATCAACGTTGCCTCCCGGCCACCCCCTCCTCACCCAGTCGAGCACCTGGGCGAGCGTTTGGTCTGCCTTGGTTTTAGCGGCGATGTCAAGGGCGGTGATGGGCAGGTCCAACTGGGTGATTTCAAAAATGGCGTTGACAGGAGCTGGGTCTTCAGCCGGAGCGGGTAAGGGGCAGCGACTGAGAGCGTCGGCGTGAGATAGAGTTTTGCCCGGGCGGTGAATAAGTTTGTATGAGTAGGCCGCTAGGAAAAGCGTCCACCTTGTCATTCTAGGGGAAAGGACTTGAGGTGTCTGTTTGTCGCCGGCCAGTAGGCCCAGGAGGGGCTTATGGTCGGTGACCAGTTCGAAGAAATGGCCAAAAAGGAATTCGTGAAACTTTTTCACGGCTGCAACAGCTGCTAGGGCTTCCTTGTCTATTTGGCTGTAATTACGCTCCGTGGCCGAGAGCGTCCTGGAGAAAAAGGCGATGGGGGCCTCGGCGCCATTGGGGAGTCTGTGACTAAGGACCGCCCCAATTCCAAAAGGAGATGCGTCTGCTGCCAGTACTAAAGGAAGGTTGGGGTCGAATTGGATGAGCACTGCCTCTGACGTAAGTAGTGATTTGACGGCATTAAACGCCTGGTCTTCTTTGTGCCCCCAGTGCCACGGTGACTTTTTGTCTAGTAATCTGTGTAGGGGTTCGGCTACTGAGGCTTTATGGGGCAAGAAGGATGCATAAAAGTTCAGCAGCCCTAAGAAAGCTTGTAGCTCCGTTTTGGAGGTTGGTGTGGGAGCTTCGTGGATTGCTCTAACCTTGGACTCCAGGGGGTGAATGCCAGAGGCGTCAATTTTATAACCCAGAAAGTCCACCTGTCTAGTGGCAATGGCGCATTTTTCTTTTTTTAACTTGAGGCCATGCTGTCTGAACCTCTCTAACACTGCTCGCACTCTCTGGAAGAGTTGGGGTCTGTCCCTGGCCGAGACCAAGATGTCGTCGAAGTAGGGTACTACACCAGGGAGGCCCTGTAAAATCCGCTCCATGAGGGATTGAAAAATACCTGGGGCAACACTTACGCCAAATTGGAGACGCTTGCATCGGAAGGCACCCCTGTGAGTGACGATGGTCTGAAGTTCCGCTGTTTGGTTATCAACAGGGAACTGCTGATATGCTTGCGACATGTCCAATTTAGCAAAAATACTGCCCGGCTCGAATGTGTGCAATAAGTGCTGAATGACGGGCACAGGGTAGGCGCTAACTTGTAAATATTTATTGATTGTTGTCTTGTAGTCCGAGCAAATTCTCAGGCTACCATCTTTTTTAAGGGGTGTAACGATGGGCGTCTCCCACTTGGCGAAATCTGTTGGCTCAATGACCCCTTGTTTTAGTAGTTTATCCAATTCAGCGTCTAGTTTTGGTCGAATAGCAAATGGAACTCTACGTGGTTTTAATCTGATTGGGACTGCCTGGGGGTCAATGGAGAACGAGATGGGGGTTCCATTATAACACCCCAGCTCCTCGCTGAACACATCTGCGTAGTCAGCGAATAAGGAGTCAGTGTCTGAGGTTGAGACAGCATGGACTCCTGTTAACCCTAGGCCGAGGTGGGGAAACCAATCGAGCCCCAATAAGGTGGGTAGATTGCCGTTAACTACCACTAGAGGTAGGTGGCCTTTAAAAGCTCTAAAACTGACAAAGAACTTGCCTCTGCCGATCACGGGAATGGCCTTCCCCTGGTAGTCCTTCAGACCGAACTGGCATCTCTGAAGCCGGGTAGTAGATAGGCTGGGGTGGAGTCTCTTGAGGGTGTTCCACGAGATTATTGAGAGCGCTGACCCTGTGTCAACCTCCATGTGGCACGGTTTACCTTCTAGGGAAACGGAGAGAGAAATTTTACTAACAGCGTGGCAAGTACGCCTGGCAAGGCGGTGCGTGCGACAGTTTAATACTTGCCTCTGTGGTCCCGCGTGCGAGGACGGGGGTCTGTGTGTAGCGCTTTGGGGGGCTTGGCAGACTCTCGCGATGTGCCCCCTCTTATGGCAGTTGTTGCAAGTGGCTCCTTTAAACTTGCAGGTGGCCCTTTGATGCGATCACCACAGGCTAGGCACAGTGTGATGTGCTTGGGTGGACCGGTGTATTCTTGTTTGGCCCCTACCTGCGACCGTCTGTCGTTGGCGAGGCGATGGACGTCGTTTTCATCGTTGTGGGTTTCCTCCGCTTCCACCTCTTCGGAATGGACTGGGAACGATGCTAGCTTGGCACTTGGGCCCTGAATTTCGGTGGCTGAGTTCGTTGCTAGCTCGGCTGCTAGGGCCTCCTCGACCGCTTGCGCGAGGTTGAGGTCTTTTTTTGCTAGCAGGCGTCTCTGTAGGTTGAGATCCTTGACCCCACAAACTAATTGATCGAGGAGCATGTCCTCCAAGTATGTTCCAAACCCGCAGTGCAGGGCTGCTGTTCTGAGGGCGGCCATATATTGATTGATGGTCTCCTTACTTGATTGCTTCCTCATACGGAACGTGAACCTCCTGGCGATTTGTGAAGGCCTGGGAGCGTAGTGGTTAGTGAGGATCTCAAGCAACTCGGACCACGGAACGTTTTTCAATTCTCTCGGCGCTACGAGTGCTGCGGCGGTATCGTAAACGGTGGCTCCGCAGTAGATTAGGAAATAGGATTTTTTCCGATGCTCTCCCGCATCCGCCAAGCCGACCGCATCGATGTAATGATTGAAGCGGTTCTTATACGACTCCCACTTCTCTTCATCTGGTTTAAACGCCGGGAATACTGGGTTGGAACTCATGGTGCTGGAACGGCTGGGCTACCTGCGGAAAAAATCTCTCTGGGACTACGGGCGCTCGTGAGTGATATCAGCTCTGGAGAGGTTTTTTCGCTACCCTCTCTTTCTCTCTCTGGGTTACCACGTTGGCTGCTAGCCGTTGGAGGTGTCTTGATTCGCGCCAAAAAGTGGGCGCTAATGACTTCCTACAGCGCTGTGCTGTGTCTCCTACTGGCTCGAAATTCAAATGACACCTGTTTGAATTTCGCGCCAAATACAGAGCGGCTGCGGCTCGCAGCGCTTCACTTTCCCTGCAGCGGGGCTAACAAGCGGCTACAGACGCTTCTAACTTTTTGAACCAGACCGCTTTCTCTGGCCGCGGATCAGAGTTTGCTCTTTTTGATCGCTCGTTTTGTTGGCTGACCGCTCTCTCTGGCTGCGGATCAGCGTTTCCCTTATCGCCAGCCGATCGCTCTCTCTGGGCTGCGGATCGGTGGCTAGTGACTCAGCGGTTGCATGGTGCCTCTGGTAGCCATCCCATCCTCGTCGCCAGTGTTTTGTTTGAGCAATGAGAGGCTGAACCAGAGCATGAGTGCAACAATACTTTATTTTACAATAAAGGGCTGACCGTGCTTGCCAAGCCTGGAACTGGCTCGCAGCAATCAGCAACCGGTTGGACCCCGCAGCCTGCTTTTATAGCTGGCTGCTGGGGAGAGCCAACCAATGGGAATGGGGGAATAACGCCCACGTAAAGAGAGTGGACCTGAGTGAGAACTCCTTGAGTCCTCAGGACATAACAGTATTTTTCAGTGGGTTTGCTTATGAAATTATTTTTCTTTAAGAAGCTTCTTAGACTAATTGCTGATTCTTCAAGTCTTGAGTTTCAGTCATTTGGGTTCAAGGGACTTATGATGGATTCTGCTGCCAGATCTGTCATCTAGCTACTTTCCTTGAAGGCTTCTTTATAAGGAAAAATTACAATTATTGAAATGTTGCAGTTTAGAGTGAAGTTGTGTTGTATTTTCTGACTGCTAGTTAGTGTTCATTGATGCTGCTAGTCTCCTGTCTGTCTTACATAGTGGCTGTTATAGTCTTTACGTTGTATTTTGTCATGGAATATTTCTTCTTCTTCTTGGGGTACTGGGTCTTTTGGTTTACTAAAGATGTTTCAGAGGGCTTTAATTGGTTTGTGTGCTATGGTGATGCCTTTCTGAGATATTTTGATGTATTTCAATAGCTTGTATTGGTTGTGCTGTAGTGGGTTGTGTGGTCAGGCACATTTTGATAAAGTTGTGTGGATATCAGTTTTTAGATAATATTGTATAGACAGTCTTTCAGTTATTCCTTTTTCTGGTGTTCTGGGTTGTTGTGCTTCTCTAAATTAGGGTTTATTTTAATTTGCATGCAGATGTAGCTTTTTTATGTAGATACTAGCATTTAAACAAAGGACAGGTACAGGAGTTGTTCAAAGATAAAATAGGAAAGACTGTGTGAAAATCATAAACTGAATCTTGATTGTAAGTCACAATTGATCTACACAAACTCCTTTCAGAACTTTTACAAAAAGCAAGAAATACTGTGAAAATGGCACAACTCTCACAGGGCCTTCCAAATGTCATAATAAAAGATATTGGTTTTGGCATAGGCAACCTGTTTAGCTTTCTCTTTTCCTGGAGAAATTTAGATAGATTGAGAGCTGTGAAATAGGTATGTATTTAAAGTTCTTGCACCCCAAAGGTTGACATGGCTTCAAGGGTTTGCACAATAGCTTTTAGACTAGTTTAACAGGCCAAATGGCCAGTAAAATTATCCCCGCTAACACTGTGTTCTAATTTTAGCTGTAACCAGTACAAATCTGGACAGAGAAGAGAACCTCACAGTTTCCTCTTCAGGCAATGCTCCATCAAAGGGCCAGGCATCGTCAACAATATGGAAACAGGCCAAAGACAGTAAAGAGAGAAATGATGAACATATTTTAAAGAACCTCAGTGATCGGCAGAGGGATGTGGCTCCAAGTAGATATAGCTCAGTAGAGAATTTGATGTGGGACTCTTCTGTTGCAGGTGAGAAAAATAGAGATGGCCAGGAGACCGAAGAATTCTCTCTGGTGTCAATTGTGTGTGTGTGTGTGTGTGTGTGTGTGTGTGTGTGTGTGTTATGATTTACAGTTCAGTTTCAGTTCCAGATATTTCTCTGTATGGAATTGACTCATTTGGCATGTTCTTGCTAACCAAATCAATGAAGGGTCCCCCTGCCACTGCCAAGAAATTATAGAGGGCAAGGGGCTTTGAGAACATTTTTGTTTCTGTTGTGGCCCCCTACATTATGGAACAATCTCCTCCCTTAGGTAAGATCAGCACTCACTCTAATGAAAGCTCATACAGCTGAGAATTTGTGGGGGAAGATGATATATGCTGTAGCATTACTATATTATTATATCTTTGTCTTGGTTTTAATGTGTTTTTGTTTTATTGTTATAAATAACTGAAGGTCCATGCAGGGGTGGGATCCGACCGGTGTAACTACTGATTCGGTGATTTTACATTTTGCGCTGCGTGCACGTGTACATCATCATCAGCTAGCTGCCTGGACAGCTGAGCAGCGCTGTGCGCGGGTGTACAGCGGTTGAAAAAACACTTTTATTTGAATTGCAGGTCTGTGTAGACAATAGTTCTTTCCTAATTAAAAATACAAGTATTCCTCAACTTTTTTCCTGTTTTTTTCAACCGCAGCTGTGTCGCACAAAGCAACTGTGGTTGAAAAAGCAGGAAATAAAGGTCAGCTAAGAACCTGGGCAGGCAGGGGGGCAAACCAGCAGCAGACATAGAACCGGTTCTATGTATGCTCTCTGCTGCTCTTCAGAGCTACCAGTTCTACAGAAGTGGACACAACTGGTAGAATCCCACCCCTGGGTCCATGCAGACTATTGTAGTATATAAGAGATAGAAGCAAGAAGAAACAGATACATACCTTTTATTTGAATTGCAGGTCTGTGTAGACAATAGTTTCTTTCCTAATTAAAAATACAAGTATTCCTCAACTTATCACCACAATTGAGCCCTAAATATCTGTTGATATAGACATTTGTTAAGTGAGTTCTGCCCCATTTGACTTCCCCATTGCCTTTCTTGTCAGAAGGTCACAAAAAATGATTCAAATGACACTGAGACATTGCAACTGTCATAAACTCATGCCAGTTAGCAAGCATCCAAATTTTGACCACCTGACCATGGGGGTGCTGCAGTGGGAGTAAGTGTGAAAAATGGTCCTCATTCACCCTTTACAGTGCCATTGTAACTGAGCGGTCACTAAATGAACTATCTGTAATGCAGATCTCAGTGTTCTGAAAGAAGTTGCAATGGCAACTGGTTAAGTCTTTGATTTTCCCATTTGCTAATATTCTCTTATATTGAGAATCTGTTTAAAGTGGCATGATAATGTGTATTAATCTAGCAAACCAAAATTATCTTTGTTCTGTCATAGCTAAAAGGCAAAATATTGCTTTGGATTTACTAGAATCTGAAAGAAAGTATGTTGTCAGCCTCTCACTTATTCTGAAAGTTAAATCCACATTGCAAGGAACAGAAGTGAAAAGAAATACAAAGGAAAGGTACAGTATTCCTTGTACTTTCTTATATACTATGAGTTTTTGGGGGTATCTGAATCACATTTTCTTTTAAAATATCAGTATTTCATTCTCTCTAGACTTCTCTTCACTGGCCATCTGTACCTACCTGTTGGGACTCATCTTATTGCTAATATTACTATAGAGATGGGCCCAAATGGCTTTTCAGAGTTCCCAACTACATTTATGAGCAGAAGAATTGGGGGAGGATTTTTCAGTATTTCTCTAAATTACCAACAGTTTCTTGTGGACAGGATTCCCTTTTGTGGCAACAGCAATGCCACAATTTAAAAAGGAATTCCACGAAGAAGAGCTTTCTCCCATGGCTGTATTTAATGCTGCTGTTTCCCCACTTTTCTTTAATAAAAACTCAGAACAACTCTGGGATCTGGATCCTGCTGCATACCTGCCACTGGCTTATATAATCTTTAATTGTACCACTATGAAATGAGTGTTGCCCCTTCTTATCCTGATACCAAAATTGCATTTTGCCAAAAATGCAATCTGATGCACTTCATCAAATATTCCAACTGTAATACAGTCAGAGGACACCTAAAGAATCAAACCCAAAGCCTATTGGCTATTCTAGGCTAGTGTGGGCATGTCCTCTTCCTTTTGTAGTTTCTCTACCTTCTAGGGCAGTGATCCCCAACCTTTCTGGGTTGGCCTGGCCTGGGGTGGGGTGGGGAAAGAGGGGATGGTTTTGTATGAGGGGCAGGTTTGCACAAGTGGGGACACCAGTGCCAGCATCTGCTGCTCACATGAGTGGGGTTGCCAGTGCCAGCCACAAATTGGGCTGTGTGCACGCGCTGGCCCACTACTCACATGGCCCATTTGCGAATAGGCTACGGTCCAGTAGTGGGCCATAGCCCACGGGTTGGGGACCCCTGTTCTAGGGATATTCTGTTTTGGAGAACCTGATAGTTCTGCTCCTTCAAACCAGGTTATGCTTCTGTATCTACTAAATCTCTGAGCTGATACTTACTGGGCTTCGATAGAGTGATCAGCCTAAATAGCAACTGACTGATGGTGTTGATTGTGGTTGGGTTTGAGAAATGCTTTCAAAATAATACTAAATCTTGTTTCAAAGGACCTGATAAGAGGTGAGAATATTGCACTGTGAAATGGCAGGGAGATTTCTGGCATTGGCCAGCTATTACCTGGGCTCAAAAGGAGCACAGTTATCAGCTACAAAGAGCACCAAACGTGTGTTTGAAGAAGGTGGAGAATAACGGGACACAAAGATGAGAGTATCCATCCAGTTATGACTGGCTGATGATATAAAATGCTGCATAGTAAACCACTACTGAGTATATGGCCTTAGATTAACAAATGATTTTTTGAATGGGGAGAAAGATTAATAACAGATTGAGGTAAAGGTTCCCCTTGCACATATATGCTGGTCGTTTCTGACTCTAGGGGGAAGTGCTCATCTTTGTTACAAAGCCGAAGAGCCAGTGCTGTCCGAAGATGTCTCCGTGGTCATGTGGCCAGCATAACTAAACAACAGATTAGTTTGTTCTTAATTTTTGCCATTTTAATATTTTATAATTTTTTACATATGGTTTGTTACATTGAAACCTCCGAAAGTAACCATAAGAAGGCAGTATATAAATGTAATAAATTTAAATAAAATTTAAATTAATTTAAGCCACTGTAGCTTTGAATGGTCACCATATGAACTATTGTAAGTCGAGGACTATCTGTACTATCTCAGTTCATATACTTTTTGCACACTGGTGGGATTCAATTTTTTTTACTACCGGTTCTGTGGGCGTGGCTTGGTGGGTGTGGCAGGGAAAGGATACTGTAAAATCTCCAGTCAGAGGTGGTATTTGCCAATTCTCTGAACTACACAAAATTTATGCAACCAGTTCTCCAGAACTGGTCAGAACCTGCTGAATATTACCTCTGCTTTTGCAGCTTTCCTACTGGATATTATTTTAGCTATGTTATTCTGTGTTTTTGTTAATATATCTGTGAAAAACCCCCATTTTTCCTGTTTTCTGATTGCAGTTTGTTTCCCAATTCTTTGCGATACTTGGTCCAACAACACGTAGAGTTACTTCATGCCTTGCAGGAAAGAGTGTTGAGTTGGCCTCAACAAGGAATCCTAGGAGACATATTTCTCAGACTGACCAATGATGAGGTATATTTTGAAGGAAAATAAATAATACCTGTTCAAGGAATTATTGTACTATGAATGACTCAAATCAAGTTCAAGAAAAGTTACAATCTTTGTGAGATAAGCTTGGAAGGTGCTTCTGATTTTATTTGCTCCTTCAGGTCTCCCCCCACCCGCCGCCTCTTTCTCATGGCAACTTGGAAACAGGCATAGTGATGTTTTACAAGTTGACACTTGAGTATTTCTCAAACTTGGACATATATTTTATATTTCCTAAGAGGTTTAATTTGTTTGCATTTTGAAACTTCCTTGTATAGTGTTATAGTGCATATGTAGTTCCTGTTTGGAGCAGAAAAGCACACAGGTAGTGCTTGACTTACAACCATTTGTTTACTGACTGAAGTTATAAGAGCACTGAAAAAAGTGACATGATCATTTTTCACACTTACAACTGTTGCAGCATCCCTATAGTCACACGATCAAAATTTGAATGCTTGGCAACTGGCATGTATTAATCATGGTTGCAATATACTTCTGTTAAGCAAAATCAATGGGAAAGCCAGATTAATTTAACAGCTGCAGTTATTCACTTAACAACCATGGCAACAAAGGTGATAAAATCAGGCAAAACTTATAACATCTATCTTGCTTAGCAATGGAAATTTGGGATCCAACTGTGGTTGTAAATCAAGTCAAATACAAGCTGTTTTTCATTTTAGATATGTTTTAAAAATGAATACTGTTAATCCAGATGAATGTGGATTTGTTATTATCTTGCTGCTTGTAGAGGCCAGAAATTAGATAATAGAACAGTTTCATATGAGTGTGGCATTGGTTTCTGTACCTAAAATCCAAAGAAACAGAATCCAATCGTTGACCTGTATTTGTAGATTTAAGGACAATCAGGAAATTGGTATCAGGTACATGCCTAAGAATTTTGAGGAACCTTTTTTAATTTCTCTTCTCAGAACAGTTTTTTGGACTATTATATTGCTTACTTGAGGGACTTGCCAGAATATATCTCTTTGATACATGTGGTGATTTTGAAAAAGGTGAGTTTTGGTTTGTTAAATAATTTGTGGGTTTTTTTTTTGCAATTCTATCATTTAAGAGAAAACACTGCAGTTGTTTCTGATCCAGGCCCCTTTCTGCATGAATAATGTGGAAATTTTTCATGAATTTCAGAGAAAGACCAGTCCTAGAGACAAATAGGAGCATATGGGTATGTTTCTGCCATTTCCAGCAAGAGAATGAGGAATATGTCCATCAGAGTTTTGCTGGTTTGGGAAAAATAGCTTAAATTTGTTAATGATCTCATTCCTCTGGCAATCTTAAAAAAGTGGGCTGTGGATGGATCTCTATCATCGCAAGGGTTATAACCTTTACATTATTTTTATTTGGTTCTAAAATACAATATTCATATCATGTTTTTTGTTTTTCTATTTCCACATTCACAGTTACAGGTACACAGACATTTAGAACAGTTCTTTTAAGCATAGAGATTTAGAAATAATTAAATAGAGATTGATCTGCTAATTGTTAGATACTAAATCCACATGTTTTCAAGCATTAATTTAATAACTGTTGTTTAGAAAAAAATATGCATCTATTTCTGCAATTAACGGAACATCTCTAATTTATAAATGATTTTAAATTTATTTTCCCTCATCAACAGGTTGAGGAAGAAACCAAGTCCGATCTTTATCTATTTTTCTTCCATATTGTCCAACGCATCCCAGAATATCTTCTTCATTTGCAAGTAAGTTCTAATAACTTTCTTTGACCTTTCTTTAATTAAAATGTGAAAAAGCTTTAGCCCTTCCAGATGCAGTTGTATCATATCACAGTTCATACCATGGTCAGTAGCTAGAAATAGTGGGAGAGTTGCCTCATCATTTGAAGAGTCACAAGTTTCCCATCCCTGTGTTAATGGTTATACATTAGGAAATATCTCAATTCCTCATAGATAATGTGGGTTTTAGAATACAGGAATCTACAATATGTTGTCTTGCTACAGTGTTTTGTAAGAGGGTCTATTTCATCATATAATTCTCCATACATCTTTGGCCCTTTCAGAAGACTGTAGACTGCTGCCTTATATTGAGTCAGACCATGGATCCCTCTAGCTTGGAAGTGTTTGCAGGCTGCCCCCCAACCCAATTCTTGTTTTTCCTAGCATCACAAGGCTTCAGATTATAGCACCAAACTTCAGTAGCAAAACTGCTGTTTTTGATAATAAAGTTATTATGTAAAAACAAAACAGCAAACTATATATTTTGCTCCCTCACCCATACCATAAGCAAAACAATAGGCCAAATAATCTCTATTTGGCCTATGACTCTATCACTGGGACAATCAGTGTCCATTTCTCCTATAACTTCTAGACATTGAAAGAATGGAAATTGTGACTTCCAGCCAGCTCTGATGTACAATATAGCAATTGGCATTACATGCCCAAGGTTTCATTCAAAGCAAGTGCTATACCAGTACATTACAGCCCAAACTCCGGGAGAAAAAGGGGGCTTTGACCTGATAATCAATGTAAGGTGAATATCATGATTTATCGTTTCCTCCTTTTGTACTAGAACATCCTGAAGTATACTGAGCAAGAGCACCCAGATTATTATCTTCTACTTGTCTGTGTTCAGCGCCTGCGAGTATTCATTTCTCATTACAGTCTTCTCTTCCAGTGCAATGAAGATCTGCTAATACAGAAACGAAAGAAACTGAGAAAGTGAGTTTGATGCCGAACTGTAGCCTTTTTGCACATTTTATGAAGCTTTCTTTCCAAGAGCAAAAGATGTTTAGATAACATCTCTCTTCTCCTTTGAGCTCCTCAACTAGTCTGAAAGAGAGGTTGACTGAATGACTGGACCAGGATCATCCTGAGAGTTTCAGGGTGAATTTTAACCTGATCTTCCCAACTCCTAGTTGATCGCTACATCACAGAATATGAGAGTGCTTTGTTGGCTATGCCCAGTAGAGTACACAAAGTAGTGGGGGAAGCATTAGTACTCCTGTGGGTAATCACAGTGCCCTTTAAAAAGACATAAAAATATTTCATAACCTGACTGTGTAAAGACATGTGAATAGCCTGGCCATTGCTGTCTTTGTTATTTCCAATCCTTCCCCATGCTCTTGCTCCTAATACACAAGGAGTGGAGGCCCAGAATAATGGGACTAATGATGACACAGCTCTTTTGTAATATCAGACATATGGAGCAGTTTCGTTTTCAGCATCATTGCTGTACCTGCTGCTGCTACCTTCATTTGCCTGTCTGGAGGGAACTGGTAGAGGCTCCTCAAATATAGTAAGTCATCTTTTCCCAGACTTACCTCAGAGATAATGTTAGCGCCAAATGAGTTCTGTGAAGTTGTGCCTTTCCATGGAGGATTTCTTCCTGTTTCTTTCTGTTCCTGCTTTGAAAATTGCCCAATTCTAAGAAAAGCCTGCATGGATAATGAAAATTAAAAAGTGCCACTACTATTCCCTACTGCTGGGATTATTTCCACAGCCAAAATTGTTAAAAAAAAATGTAAATGAAGAATCAGGTGGATCTGCTCACTACTTTGTCAAGAACTGAATCCTTGTTTAGATTTTTTTTACACAATCTTAACTTCCACTTGGAGATGCATTGGGTTGTCTCAGTTATACTTAAGTGACATTTCTTGAAAAAGCAGCACCAGTTCTTGAACTTCCAAAAGAGTTTGTTAAATATCAGTCTGAGTTTCATTTTTGTTTGTTTTGCTGTTATAGTATAGGTACTACTGGTATTTACATAGTTTTGTTAATGAACATGAAGTATTTTAGTGGTAGATTGATATAGGACCTGGGAACATAAAGTAAACCTACCTGTAGATATCTTAGAAGAATATAATAATTTGCAGTAGTAATCTAGAAGGAAGTTCAAAATACATTCATAATTCTTTATGTGGTTCTTTTGCACCAGGCTCTGGTTGGTGAAACTTGGTATTCTAGTACCAAACATCAATCCTATAAGCCTGTTTCCTCTCTGATATATGCAGTGTACTTTCCTTAGTTGTTTGGCCTACGTAAGGGCCAAAAATGTATTTCTGTTAATGAAAGCAGAAGTTGCTTGTGATCTAGTTATCATACTTCTAAACCTTACATGAGACTTTAGATCAGTGATAATGGTATTCAAGCACTATAGATATGAAATTATCTGTTGCTGAAGTTAATGCAAGGCTAGTTCCCTGCATTAAGAAAATCTGGTGTGGCTGCATTCTTGTTGAACTCACGGTAGTATTACATTTCTGTTTTCCTAGATCTTCCTTCATAAAGTTATATAAAGGTCTGGCCACTCAGTGTCCCAGCAGTGGACAAACAGCATCTCCAACACCAAGTGCAACTTCCTTTCACAATAGTGGAATCCATTCTGAAGAGACAGTGCATATATTCCCATCAGCCTCTGCTCCTGGAACAACTGCTATGTGAGTACAAAGATAGCATCAGAAGATACTAATTCAGGAATGTACATTATAGCATCGGTGGCGCAGTGATTAGAGTGCAGTACTGCAAGCTACTTCTGCTGCAGCCAGCTGCCTGCAATTTGGCAGATTAAATCTCACCAGGGTCAAGGTTGACTCAGCCTTCCATCCTTCCGAGGTGGGTAAAATGAGGACCCAAATTGTTGGGGGCAATATGCTGACTCTGTAAACTGCTTAGAGGACTGTCAAGCACTATAAAGCGGTATATAGGTCTAAGTGCTATTGCTATTCAGCTTGTTCATTCTTGTTCTTGTCTATTCTTATGTTTTGCAAACTTTTTGGTGCAATATATTTCACAAATATTTCAGATTTCGTTCGCATAGATAACTCAATCTAAGATAGTAAAAAGAAATGTATTCTCCAATTCCTTGTGAATTATTCATATTAGAAAATAAATATTAGCAACTTGCTTGGGGGGAAGCACTTAATTTACTTGAATGGCAGGGGGTTCCCACAAAATTGGTACCCCAATCATCCAAAGTGGAGCTTTCATTTCTGTTGGGATAGAGGGGGAACACTGTATTTACTTAACCTTGTTTACCTGTATTCTCTTACCACTATTTTAAGGCATTTGATGTCACACATAAAAAAGGGTCAGCAAGAAATGGCAAATATCCCAGGGAAACCATGTGAGTGGGAAGCTGATGGAAGAAAGCATGACAGACCAGAGAGTGCTTTAATTCCATCTCAGTTCAACGAAGAGGACTTGAAGGCTCTGGCGGCTTCTCTGCAGCCTGTTCCAGATATGGAGTTCAATGCTGCCTCATCAGATATGAAAGAAAACCCGGAAAAGCCTCACAAAGCTGCTGTGGAGCTTCTGCAAGACAGCAGAAGCTTTACTCCTGATTTTGAAGACTTTGAATACCAAGGGAATACATATTCCATTCCTGGATTCTATGAGAAAGAACCTCTGGCTATCCATCAGACTTGCTCACCAGCCTCTTCTGAATCTAGCATTGACATCTGCTTCTTGCGACCTGTGAACTTCACAAAGGAACCAGAGAAGGCACAGCGCACTTTGCAACCGCTTCCTAAGAGCAATGATCTAGAACACATCGGTAGCAGCACCTCCAAGCGTGAAGCTTTTCGGAGCAGGGGCAAACAACTGAGTCAGTCCTTGAAGGAGTTTCCCCGGAGCGGGTCTGAAGGCATCATCAGCACAAGGCTATATAGCACAAGGAGCAGCAGTGGGAGTCGGCTATCCAACTTGCCGGAGAGAGGCTTCCAGCCCCACGAGGCCTCTGCCACCTCCAGGAGCTCCTATTGGAACTACTTTCCTCCACAGCGAGGAGTGGGTGAAAAGCAAAGCTTTGTAGAAGTAAGGAGAGCAAAAGGCCAGGGCAAACCCACTTCCCACCAGGGTCTGAGAAACACGTAAGCGGGCTACTGACTCAAAGGCAAAGACGGGAGGGGTCAGGGCTCTGTCCCACAGGGATATCATTCAGTTAGTCCTTTTTGGCTAGTAGTTGCATGTACCCTGCATTTGGAGTGCTAGTTGAAAGCAGTCTCCAGAGTATCTTCTTGCCTCGGTCTAAATCAGAGGCGTCCAATCATAACAACTTTAAGACTTAAGGATTTCAACCCAAAGAAAAACTCATCTCCCTCATGCTGGTTGGGGAATTCTAGGAATTGGATGTCCACAAGTCTTAACGTTGCCAAGGTTGAACACCCATTTTTTAGAAGAATATGCTTCATTTTTAAAAAGTTTATTTTAAAATGATGCCAAATTAAAGAATGTTTCTAATTTTTTGAATGGTACGGACAGTAATGGAGGGAGTACTTCACACAACACCCTTATACATGATAAACTGTGGTTTAGTGACTTAATCTAATGGTTTGCATCGTCATGACAAAGTTAACCATGATTGAATGCACATAATGTAGGATGAGAAAATACGATTGGCCAATTTATATCGGTATGTGTCTTGAATACAGACTAGGACACCATGACAACCGAGAATTAGCATTAAAAAGAATTAAGGATTCATGAGATGGCTGCAAATTAGTTGTACTGTTCAATTTTAGGTAGACTCTTTTAAAGATTTGCCGCTTTAAGATTGATTTTGCAGCCTGCTACAAATATCAGCCATGCCTTGAAAAAAAGTCATTTGCCTTAGCTTAGATGCTCCTTGCTGCTGAGCCAGGTATTTACTGTGACAGTGAGGCGAGCCTTTCTAAACCAGATGATTAGATTATAAAGATGAATAGTAGTAACTATTATTAGTAATAACTATTAACTATCAAGGAACTATTAAGTAATAATTCCAGGGTAGTGCAGGCCTTTGGACCTGGCTGATTCTTGCCTGCCTTCCTGCTAGAAATGCAGGAAGGACTTTTGAGAAGCAATTCCTAGTCTTTAAAATGGATTTGGTTCCTATGACCTTTTTTAGGAGCATTGACAATTGCAGTTACACTAGTCTGTAACAAAATGTTCTTCAGCCCATCTTATCCAAATCCTCACATTCCCCCCAAATATTGGTTTCTTGTGATGTGTAGCAGTCTTCACTGTGCCAAGTGGGCTCCTGGGAACTGTGATTGGTTAGCATTTATAAAAGTTTCCTACTCTTACTTCATAAGTCTCAGAACAAACATTAAAGCTTTGCTACAGAGGTTTATTTTCTCTACTGCTTTTGTTCCACAGAATGAGAATATATTTTTTCCTTTTTCAGGATATGCATTTAGAAGATATCCGATTCTCTTGCAGAGATGACAATGAGCAAACATCTTTCAGCAGTCATCCACCACGGCAAGAACAAAAAAGGAGCTTTCGCAGTTCCTTTCGCAAACTTTTCAAAAAGAAATGAGTTATTCAAAGACAAATAAATTTGCCAACATTTATTTACTCCCATTATGCAGAAGTAAGGGCTTCCTACCATTGCATTTATATCCATGCTAGTTTATTGGTTATGAAATGTTAATGCAAAATCTTAGAGAATTGTGGGTTATCACAACTTTTGGCAACTAAACTTCAGGCAGAATTTACCTTGCATGCTATACAAAAGCTACAGTGTGTAAAAGTACATGTTATATAGATTTGGTTCTATACCATCTTTAAATCAAGCATTCAAGATGGTTATTCAGTGCTCCTATATGAACTGGTTCTATAGGAAACTTTCCATGTCTCCAAATATTCATCAGCTCATCAATAGACATCTCCTTCCGTTATCCATTTTTAATGTGAAAAATGTAGCATAATTCTTGATTGACCTATCTCTAAAAGAGCAGTTCGTCTCTTAAGAGTAGCTTAAGATACCATTTAATCATTTACCCAGAATATTGTATAATAGAAAAGTTTATAATTTAAGTATCTCGAAATAAAAAGTATTTAGATCATAAGATCCTAAACCAAATGATTAGGTTCCCCCCCCCCAAAAAAAAAAACACAGGAAAATGGTGCTACTCTCATATATACATTTTAAATTGGTAGATTATATGTTACTACAAAGTATGTTTTAGGTGATTATTGCTTGTATTTTGCTTCAAATGAAATTGGCCCTAAAATACATGGTTCATTTGGTCAGTAAATTCAACTGAGTATTGTTTGTGTGATTAAGTTATAAAAGACGAATAATGAGACAAAAATCCAAACCACCTAATCATGATCGAAAACTTAATACAATGGCTAGTGAAAGCTGGAGTAGTTTAAAAAAAGTGGGAAATGTGGAAAAAACAGTTCAATATTTTTCTGGAGCTAATAACCAATAGTATATTCATCAGAAACATTTAATCAGGAAGAAGTAATTTGCTGCTCATCTAGAAAATTGGGATAATAAACAATCAATTACCCTTTCAAGATATAATATTAAAACTCCAAATCAAAGATGGAAGAAATTCTCTACTGGAATGAAAATGCCTAATGCTGAGAGACAACTTATTTAATATTTAAATACTAAGATTGTGGTAGTAAGTGCAAAGCAAACAAAAGTACAACAGATTGTCTGAATTATTTAACTGCATTTTTACATTGAGTAGTGGTCTTTAGTTCTGCAGATGTTACATTTGGTTTTCCAAATTAAATTAATTAAAATGTAGCACATTTTCCTATAGCCCTGGGTGTCAAACTCACAGACATGGCAGCGTCACATATCAGGACTTCCCCCCCTTCGCTAAACTGGGTGTGGGTGTGGCCAGTGCCTGATGAATCCAGCCCACAGGCTGCGAGTTTGACAGCCCTGCTATAGCCCAATTTAATTTCACTGCTTGAATTGGATTTGATATCAACAAAAGCTAAATACCCAAGCTCTCGTCAAATTGAGAGCAAATTTGAAAGAATGAATGGAAGAATTGGACTATGTATTAGGTCTGGGACAATAGGTTGTATTCAACTGCAGAATTCACATCTAACAGATTCTGTATTAGATAAATCAGAGTTCCTTAACCTTTCGGGCTTTGTGGACTGGGGGGAGAGGAGAGGGAACTGTTCTGCGTGAGTGATGGGTGAATGTGCATGCGTGCAGCTGTATTTGCCTGAGTGGCAGGCACGTGCGCCTATCGTTCACACAAATGGAGTGTGTGTGTAGGTGCTTGCCTGCTGCTCACACAAGTTGGGATGCACGTGCGCATGTGCTTGTCCACCCCTTCCACGGCCCGGTTCTGAATGGCTCCAGGCCTGAAAGTGGGCTGCGACCTGGGGACCACTGATATAGTTCCCCTTTATAATGTATGCATTCTCACATGATGCTAAAACAACAGTGCTTGCTTGCTTTTGGCTTAGCCAATTGTGATGTGTGAATATACTAATAAGTTGTAACATTCTATACCCATTCTAATATTATATATTCTTTATTAAACAACACTATAAGTTGAATTAAAAAAATACAGGTAGTCCTTGATTTACAACACTTCATTTAGTGACCATTCAAAGTTACGCCATTGAAATATGTGACTTATGACCATTTTTCACATAACCTTTGCAGCATCCTTGGACTCACATGATCAAAATTCAGGCGCCAGATTTGGCAACTGATACATATTTACACTGGTTGCAGTGTCCCAGGGTCATGTGATCACTTTTGGTGACTTTCTGACAAGCAGAGTTAATGGGGAAGCCAGATTCACTTAACAACTGTTATTAATGACTGCGGTGATTCACTTAACTGTGGCAAGAAAAATCATAAAATGGGACAAAATTCACTTAACAAATGTTTCAGCAACAGAAATCTTGGGCTCAATTGTGGTCATAAGTTGAGGACCACCTGTATGGTAGCTCGATAAACCTAAATTATCATATACAGAGAAATATAGCACTTATGGGATATGTAAGGCCTTTTTATTGAAGAACAGATCTCTTGAGTGCCAAAATATAACAGCCACTATTAATTTTTAGTCTAAATGCAATCTGAATACCATTGCAGACATAGCATAACAAAGCACCTATAGACATGAAAAGGTACACAGACTCAAAAAATTTACCAGTTTAGCTATTACCATTTCAACCTTACAGAGCTGAATTGGACTGCCATTGTCTTTTAACAATTTAGCAATCCATCCACAGTATTTTTAAAAAAGCAATACATTTTCAAATATATTAAGTTACCAGAATTAATAAAAAACTGTACATAGGGAACAAGAACTGGGCAAATTAAAAATGTAACCTGAAAAATTAGATCCTGTCCAATGAGAATCCACTTTTAGAAAGAAAAAAACTTTTAAAAGGCACATTTGGCAGCTACTGAAAGTTGCATACATCTGGCACAAGCTTCATTTTTCATTTCAGTTGTCTAGACAGTGGAATTTACAAAGACCGTTCATTTTTACAGCACCTAATTCCTTAACTAATTTTGCATTCAAAGACAAAGGGAATGGACTTCAACTTTAAAACCTTACCCATCACTTCTTTTAGGAAGCACCCTGTTTTTGATTTTGAATCATAATCAGTGACCCTACAATTTGCCTTATTTTTTTAAAAAATGGGATTGATGATTAGTGTTTTGAAAAGCAATTTATAACAATTGTGTGAAAGTTAATTCTTATGACAGGCCAGCATCCGAACTAGGTCTTACAGTGTGTTGAGAAGATCCCTGGAGTCAGTTAATTGAGCTTTCCCCCTTATTAAAAATAAAACTTCAGAAAGTCTTCCCTAATTAAAATGTTAGAACAAGGATTTCATGCATTTGTTTCTGTCCCCATTAGTGTGGTATAATTTATGAGGGAACAATGATAGGCTAATTCCCCAAGCCATACTAAATGTAACAGGAGCAGCCACTCACTAGCCCCGTTAGCAGAATTTCCACAGGTACCAATTCTATCTTCTCCTACTGATGTTGTTTTTAAGGAACTGGCGGGGAAAGTAGGCTACAGAATCCATGTGTGTATGTACTGGGTACTGGGTGTTGTAAAGTATAACAGAAGAGACGCTGATGAATTATAAAAATGAAATTTTCAATCAAAACCCCAATTCCAGGAAAAGCAGCCTGACTTAAAGATGGCAAAAGTATACAAAAGCAAACAATACCATGCATAAAAACAACAAACACATTTATAGCATGCTTGATGAAACATGGCAACAGATTGCTTAGATTTGTAGGATTTCTTTCCATTTTGTACTGATCAGTCATGGCACATAAATCCCAGATTTCCCTTTTGACAACAAATTTGGTGAAACAGCTTTCTCTGATCAGAAAAATATACCTGAACTTGATCTAGATAACAAGTACTTATGTTCATTTTCCTAACCCTGAAACAATTTCATGGAAAAGTTTCTTTCTCACACACATTTTTTTAAAAAAAGCTCTTCTACACTATCAAACCCTCACGACCGCAATTCCATATATATTTATTGACAAGGGACTATAAGAGGGGACTAAGGCAAATGTGCTGCAAATGGAGCACATTTTACCATTAGTGATAGTACTAAGCAATACAATTGGGTTTGAGGGACTCTGTTTAGATTAAGATTTTGCATTTTTAAAGTGTTGATTATTTTTGTACAGAAATAAATATTTACTGTCATTTAAAAAAAAAAATCTTTTAATGACCCTGTAATCCCTTACATCGAGATGGAGTCGGGGCAACTGAATGGAGCCGAGTGTTTACTGGCTAGATGCCCTTCCTGTCACCAATGCAGAGTTCACAGCAGATAATTACTCATTGTGCCCAGAGAGAGAAATATCTGCTGCTACCTAGGATTGAACTCACAGCCTCCTGATCACAAGGGTGAAAGCTTCACCTCTAGACTACTGTACCACTCAAATACTGACCTTCATTGTGGTAAAGAATCTAAAACCCTCACAATATCAACAGCATCTCTTGTTAAATCAATTCATTTAATAATTCAACAGCTGACCGCTATCAAGCAAAGTAATCTTAAAAGCAGCTGTCATAAAATTTTGATGGCGGAGTCTCTTTTCATTTAAGACAAAGTTATATTTGCTTATAAAATTACTATTTTAAAATGTTAAATTAGCAAATATGTACTCTAGTCTCTTCCTGAATGTCGGATTGCTTGATCAGGGAAACTGATTCAGTGTGGCAGGCAGAAGCAGGAAGATTTGCTGTTATCCTCTGCTTTGCTCAAGCTGTAGTGAATAAATATCATACAATATTTAAAGTTCTTAGGGATGGCACTTTTGCCATGATACAAATGAAAGAAAAATGGCTTTAACTGGGGTCCAATGTATGATTTTTTTCATTATGAATCGGAATTATTTCTGAAATATCTTCAACTGTATCCTCAGTCAACCCTTCTTATAGTCTTTTAATATTAACATTTTTCCCCAGAATGCCCTTTTGATTCTCATATTATGAGCGTAAAGTTTAAAAGGATTCTAAGATAAATTCAATTGCTTCCTAAAATGCAAAAACCATAATCTGCAACTGGGAAAATTTATTATAGCAGTAGCAGAAAATTTATTATAGCAGTTTATTATAGTTGTGTCTCACAATGACACAGACTTTCAACAACATTGTTCCAATAGCGTGACTTTCTAGATAGTTGAAAAGCACTCTGGAGTGGGGAAAACATTTCATCCAAGCATATATACCGCACCATTCACAATTCCTAAAGTAGAAAGAAGATTGAAATCTTCAGTAAATGCCTTATATTACAATCATGGTATGGGGATCAGAAGCTCATAGGTTCATAGGAAGGTCAGATGTTCATAGGTTAATTCAAAGCCAGATACTGTACTGTATTCACATAAATTTCCCAATACGAACTTTAAACTTGTGAAAAGTTAGACAGAGATTACAATATATTATATGCATGAATCCATTAATCATGCCAACTCACCTGGATTTATTATTCAATATCTTGGCATTTCTTCGGAGAGTATCCTTGGTAAACTAAAACAATCTAGAAACAGAGATGTGTGTACCACAGTATGTCTCACTTCCTCAGAGCTAAAGACTGAAATGTACATTTAGCAATGCAATAATTTAATATATGTCAGCCAGACAAAATATCTGTCTTTATTTCATTTAAATTAAAAACAATTTGCAATTATATTTATGCAACATTCACTATATACATATGATTTATTTATGCAACTACAAGGCAAAAGTTGATACTGATTATTTGTCTACCTACCACTAGTTAAAACAAAGTGATAACCAGGGATTGGGTGGGGGGAGATGGCCAGAGGATCATTTTTTGCATTTCCATGGCATAATCAAAGAGGCTGCAACACTAACTGGAAAGTTGATCACTGGTAAATCTTAATTGAAGACCTAGTCAATATTTACCCATGTATATACGGATTTAAGTGACAGTAGCAGTGCCATTTCAAAGTATTTAAGAAATTTAGAGCCTGCCCACTTTCAAAGCGACTCTTGTCAGCTTACATTAAAAAATAAGAAATTATAAAAACATCCCATGTATCTGGATAAGCACACTCCCTTAAACAGAAAAGATAACCACAGATTTCCACAACCTACCTACCCCAGGCCTGGGAGAACAGTCATGTTTTTAAAAACTTCCAGATCATCATCAAGGTGAGAGCTACACAGAAGTCTGGGGAATATCACTCCAGAGGGCAGATGCTGTAACGAATAAGACTTCTTGGGTCCTGAAAAATGGCATTATTTGACTGAAACAACCCAAAGCACACCAACTGTGCCTGATCTTACAGGACAGGGAATCCTGGGAGCAGGCAGTCCCTCAGACAGCTTTTGTTATGGTGGCACAAATTAGGCATTCTACTTACTGCATCTCTCTTTAGAACTGGCAACACATTTTTATAGAAGGAAAGTACCTCTTTGGTGAAGCCTAGCTACCCATGTATTTAACTAACGTAAGAGTTTGTAAACAGTACTGCAGTATAATGTGATGCCTTAGCTCTATCCTGGTTCAACGCTACAAATCAACCTCACAGTCCAGAACGATTCGAAAGCAGGGAATGATACAATTAAATTAAAAAGGCTAACAAATTCTCTGTTTGAGATTTTTTTTTTTTAAAAGTGCATATTATTACTCCAAGAATTTATGTCACGGTGGACAGATTATAGGATTATGCTTCACATCCTTCACTGGACAATACACAAAGCACAGGAAATGTTTATTGGCCTAAAGAGATCTGCAAACCTAATTTCTGGTACATTCAGAAGTCCAGTGAGTTTAGAACAGTGCCTTGCATACTTTACTAACAAACAACATTTTTCTTCCACAATAAAGGGACCTGTTATTTATTATTTTCCACATTATATATATCAAATGTAGAGTCATTAGTGTTAGGAGCAGTACCACGCAGCTCCTTGTTGCCAAAAGACGTGGTGCATCTATTGCCAGCAATAGACGTAGCACCGGAGAAAGCATGCTCTAGCACAAAGGAGGATTCAGGTGGAGTGGGCATTCTCCAGCAAAGAGGGTCCGTCGTGATGCATTGAAGGATGGGTGGGCTCCCTTTTGTAAGTTTTTGGAGGAAGCTTTGGGATATGTTGAGAAGTGCTTTGCCGTGGAGGAACAGGTGGCCCAGCGACAGAATGGATGTCCATTTCTTGGGGTATCAAAGGAGGGGATGGTAAATGCCTGCGTGCAACATGGGGAGAAGGGGTCTGAGGAGGAGGGGGAGTAAATGGAGAGGGGCTATTGGGAAAGAAAGTGTTGCCAAGTTCACTTTTTCTGCCTAAAGGCGGTGGCTGGAGATGCAAAGGCGAACTAGAGAAAACATCAGGAGTTCGCACAGGTTCTCGTGGTGGCAATACAGGTGGGCTTTCAGGAGCATCTGAGACAGAGGTCCTGTCGGGCACCGAATACCTCGGTGAATAAATTTTTGTTGTTGGCTGCCGAGGGGGAATTGCTGGTGGACTATCCAGGTGTACAGAAGAAATCTAAAACAAACAAATGATTCTGTTATAAAGTGATTCAAGGGCTCCAGTGTTACATTACTAACCCTTCCAAGAAAAGCTACATTAAACCTTGATAAATTTTTCATCCAAAGACAGATGAAACAAATTTATTCTTCATTTTCTCTTTTTCTTTCAGTGATTAAAATAACATCCTTATGTTACATCCAGGTTCATTTTAAACATACCACACCTTGGTGATAAAAACTAGGGAGTGAGCAGAAAATGGAAAAATGTTTTGTTTTAAACTATCAAAGCCCTGTACTCTTTGATATTCTGCTTGACTCTTTCAGATCATGATTTGTTTCTTCCATTTTCTTCAGCAGTCATTTTGTTTCTAACTGAATCAAAGAATCAGAAGCAGTCATTTATGCCTTCAAATCCAATTTGCAGCTCTGTACAAGTAGTCCTCAAGATACAACTTAATGATTGCTCACAAGTATGACCGACAATGCAAAACTACATATGAACCTGTTTAAAAGTTATGACAGTATAGTACCTCTGAGGTCATTTGCACTTATGACAGACCACAAGGATGCTGCAGCTCCCCTGCCTGTCTTCCCCCTCATCCCACCCAGATAGGATCCCTGCAGCGCATAGGCCTGCTCCCCATGCCCCTTGGAAGCAGTGACCTCTGCCACCAATTGGGTGCTAAAACTAAACTCTCTGCCTCTGCTGTCCATTGACTGCCTGTAGGGGGCAGTCTACGGTCTAGCCTTTAAGTCCTAACTGAGGACAGGCAATCAAAGGAGAGCTAAAGCTTGCAAAAATCCAGCATCCTCTATTTTTAGCAGTAGTTTCTAGTCCACTTAAATTTTGGAGATGAGTATTTTTCCTCTCCAGTTCCAAGGGAAAAAGCTGCAGAAAGATTTTCTCTCCTGGCTCTCTTGGTTCCTTCATTATTCATTATTCCTGCAGTCCAGGTCAGCTTTTAAAAGGGATAGAGATTGGATGGTTTAGTTTTAGCACTTAACTGGGGCAAAGGGAAGAAGAGCCACAAGTCTGTCCCACCCAATTTTTATTTTTTTATTGAAGAAATGTGGGTGCAGGGGAGAGGTTTGTGGAAGCTCATCCTGAAGCTTTTTATGCAAGGGCCAGCTTCCCAAAGCTGATTCAAAATCCAAATCCAAATCCATCTCTCTTTAGCTTAATTTCATTTTTCTATGGTTTGTACTTTAGAATGACAGAAAATGGGCCCCGAATTTCTGAATTATACTTTTTAGGAACTTGAAAAGCCATTATGGCCTCTTCAGTCAGATTTTCACAGGGCTAAAACTTACCCGTTCATTCCGTCTATTTTTTTGTAAGACTTAATTATTTCCTATCCTCTTAACCATTCTTGTTGCCTTTGTTGGACTCTTTCATAAATTGTGGTTGCCCATTATTAAGCCAAGTACTTAATATGACAAATATTAACCATGTTTTGAATTCAAAATGTATTGCACATCCCTGTGTGTGGCAAATGCACAATAGTGACTATTCTTAATATTTAGAACAATCTACTTTTACTGATGTAACCTTAAAACTGAACTTGCCTCTTTAGTAATCACATCAAACTACCAAATCTGCTATCCCCTATTGTTCATTCATAACACACACACACACTCATATGTTTATTATTTTCAGCCCTTTTCGGTAAGTCTCCTTTTTAAATTCTGTTCATATTTTTAGAATATTAGTTATTCTTCTGCAAATTTGATAAGCGTCCCCTCTATCTTTTCATTCAAAAGTCCATTTGATTTTTCATTAGTATGAAGAATCATAGCTGAACATAGTCTAAATATGATTTTCATCCTACCTACCTGAGTTTACTGCCCATTCTACCCTTAATTAACCTGCACATTGGAAAGTCATGTGCAATCACTCTTGGCCTTCTAGAAAGTTACAGAGACAGCTGTTTTGGAGATCCTACATGGGGTAGTCACGATTGTACTTTTAATGATTTTTACATTTTCATTGTTTTTTAATGACGCAAACTCTGAGAATCTTTTTGAAGTTTGGCAGTATGTAAACAAAATAAACAAATAAATGGCACAGTTATCTTTGCATCATGCTTGGGCCCCCCAATAGAGGAACAGCAGAATGGAGGTGTTTATTGAGTAACAACAGAATTCCACTTCCCCCCAGGCCCCTCCCATGTGTCCTTAAATTTTAATGTTTTTTGTTTCAAATTTATTTATGTTTTAATGTATATGTATAGATATATTTTTATGACTGCAAACCACTCAGAGTTACCCTATGATAAGATGGGCAGCCAATAAAGTTTATAAATAGAGAAATAAAAAATAAATGCATAGTTTTTGTCAGCTTCTGGTCACTTAGGAATTTACTAAAACAAAAATTCTGACTGGGGTGCACCAAACTTTTGCTTGTCATATCACCTTATATCTTTTAAAAATAATTTTAGCTTACTTCTAAAATCCATTATTTTTGCTATTGGAAATAGAGAAAAATTACCTTTGATGGAGAAGATTCAGCAGGGGCAGATTCTGGACGTCTTCGGGGTGGAATAGGAGGAGGAACAGTAATTTCATCAGAATTTTTGGGAAAACTGATGGAGGATACAGAGGCAGACCCTGAGGACATATGAAAACTTTGAATGGCCTATCTTAAACAGAGTAAAATATAACTTATAAAAACTGTTTTCATTTAAGTATTGAATTTCTGTGATATCATGTTTATTTCATAATAATCAGATTCTTAAAGCCACTCATTTATTAGATTTGTATCTGCCCATCTCATATATGTGGGGCTCACAACATTTAAAAACATCAATAAAACAGAATAAAAATTAAACTCAATGAACACACAATCATAATGAAAACCACCATTAAAATCTAAGTTAAATTAAACCAAAGGCGGCTGGTAAACTTTTCAGTTTGCTCAAATTTATGAAGAAAAACTACAGGAGACATCCAAGCATGGGGAAATGAATTAGATAGACATCCTCATGAGAACAGGTATTAGTAAGTTACCTGATTTATATTCTTTTATTGCTCAGTGCATCTTGGGAAATTCATTTTGGAAAATATGAAGGAAATAGTTATCCTTGTTACTTTTTATACCCATCATTATTGGGAAATAGCACTACTTTACGTAAATATTTATTCTCAACTGTTATTTTCTAAATTATGATAAATTATAAAAGCATCAACTGAATCAAATGTCCCAGTAGATTCTATTCTGTATAAATACTATCTCATTTATTTTTATGCTACGTAATACAACACAAATTGAAATGAAAGGGCCCAAAAATATTAAAGTGGAACAGAACATCACTGCCTGTAGTTGCACCTACTTGAATGAAAAGGTGTAGAGGGATCAGAATCAAACACACTGCAGACATCTGTAGTGCTGGAAGTAGAGGACGGCAAGGGTGGGGTGAGGGGTGTTCTTGGAGAGTTTGGTGCAGAGGCTGCATTCTCCGATTCACTCTCAGGGACACGACTGTAACTAATTTTTCTGGGTTCTTGTTGCAGAGGTGTTGGGTGCCTCATGGTTCCAGGTCTTGGATTTGATGGACGAATACCCGGAGATTTGAGGGAATAGCTGTATTTTTTAGGCTGAAAGAATGCAAAGCAGATATTATTTTAACTTTATCATTTCTGAGCATCATATTTGTGTTGTTCTACAAGTAATTGATTATGTGTTATAAAGCTGATGTCAGCTCTGAGTGACAAGGTTGCTAGATCTGTCCCTCACTTGGCTTAGAATTGAGTTAATCCACCTCTCTCTCTTTCATTTCTAGAATTTCTAGAATTATGAACTTGTGAAGGAAGTGAGGTCTTTGCATAATGTGTCCCAATGAAATATAATTTCAGTCTGATCATGTGCCTCAAGTGAGACTATGGACTGATCGGTTTTATGATCCATTTGTTTGGGCCTTTTCTGGTTGTCAGTGATATTGTCAGGGATCTTCTAATTCCAGAGTTCAAAATGTCAATATTCTTTCTATCACGCTTTTACAAAGTCCAGCTGTGTACAGGTAGTCCCTGACATACAACAGTCATTTAGTGACTGTTCAAAGTTCCAAAGGTACTAAGAAAAGTGACTTATGACCGTTTTTCACACTTTTGGCCATTGCAGAACATACACCCCATGGTCATGTGATCAAAATTCAGATGCTTAGCTACTGGCATGTATTTATGATGTATCCTAGAATCATGTGTTCCTCTTTTGCAATCTTTAACAAGCAAAGTCAATGGGGAAGCTAGATTCACTTAACAACTGCAGCAAGAAAGGTCGTAAAATGGGGCAAAATTAACTTAAAACTATCTCACTTAGCAACAGAAATTTTGGACTCCATTGTAGTTGTAACTCAAAGATTATCTCTATAGGGAAAACCACTGCTTATAAAATTCTGGTCTTTGTAGACATGTCATGGAATCTGAATATTGTTTCCAGGGTCTTCATTGCTACCCTACCAAATGTTAATATGAAACGTATTTCTTGACTCCTGGTTTAGTGCAAAACTGTTCTTAAAAAAGAAAAGTGATTTACAGCAAGTAAATAACAAAAGTTAACACTCACAAATCTTGGAGGCGGCTTCATATTACGTGGTTCTATTTCTAGGGACTTGTTGTAAAGAGAATCTGCAAATTCTTTTTCCATGCTATTTCCCATTGGATTCAAATTTTCAAAAAATCTCTAAAACCCAAACACTCAAGTTGATTAGTATAATGTAACATTGTGATTTTAAGGCAAAGGATGCAAATACTTTAACAACAGGGGACAAACCTGACTTTTTGTTAGTCACAGGAATGCATCTCCCTCTATCTGCTTTTAAAGCAACACTTATGCAAACTAAATAGACTTCAAGAAGCCATTGAAGTAACTGAAACAATTATTCTGATGTTTAATTTGCATTAACAGCTATCAAGGAGTCAGGTCCTCTCACAGAACAGGCGATGAACTGGATGGAACTGGCTATTGTTATACCTTAGAATCATAGTTGGGAAGAGCCACTTAGGTTATTGTTTCCAATCGTTTGCTCAGTGCACATTAGGGCATTAGCTGATTCAACTAATTTTACTTCATCTATATAATTATAAACCTTACACCCACTGTTTACCTAAACTGTTACTAAAAACAATAGAGGGTCCAAGACTGCTCCTTAAGAGTACTTCACTCAGTACCTCATTCAAATTCAATGAGATAGGGTTGATTAGCACAATTTTACATTTGTATGATTTCAGCCAACTGCATTTTAATGTTAAGTAGTCATGATTAATGTCACTATGGTTTGACCAATGTTTTTACACCTTTACAATTTTTGTAAGATTTAGACTGGGAAATAAATTGTATAAGAGCACACTTGAGGATCATTTTAAGCAAATCTTTTTCCTTCCATACTTGGAGGATGAGATAGTCCTGAGTTACAGAAGAGTTTTGCTCCTACAATCCTTGTAAAAGTAAATTTTCATGTATGCTTGCATCTATTTGCAAAGTAGCAGCTGCTGTTTTGCACATCTGCAAAAATCAGTGTTTTTTCCCATCCACATAATGTTTATTTATTGAAAATATACTGTATATAGCCAACATTTCTTGTGCCTTTTTCCAGAAAGTTAAAGTTACATAAGTCAGGGGTTACTTAATCTGGGTATTGCAAAATATAGCAAAGGAAAAAAATCAGTTTGCAGTTCACTGGGAACCACAAGATAGCTCTTGAAGTAAAATTTCTTTCAAGACCCAGACTGATAAATAGATAAGTAGGATTAACCCCAGACAATCAAGCAATAAATGGTACAAACAGAAGAGACTATTTGTAGCTCAGGATTGAACTGTGAGGACATTGGTGATCTCTGAGCTTCATGGGTTTTCTACAGACATTTCTTTAGCAAATTAGGTAACTACCCTTATTGATGATGATGCCTAGTTTGGTACTGAAATGTCTGCAAAAAAATCGTCAAAATGACAGAGCACCAAAGACTCCACAGTAAATGACACCCTTATCAAGGAATTATCAACTCAGACAAACAAGTAGAAAACAACACCCTAACCAATGAACTACCAGGAAGATATATCCCCACCAACATGACAGGGCAAACTACTGTATTATATATTGAGAGCAAACCTCACTCCAACAAGCAAACAACCAAGCTCAGAGAACACCAAGGATGCAAAACTTTCTACTTACCCTGATGTCATTTTCCACCTTTAAGCAATATGGCTGGTTTTGGTACTGTTGTATTTCTCCTGTTATCTCAGCTACTTTCCTCCGTTTGCTAAAGTTAATGAGTTCTCTTCCATGTCTTCTTAGAAATTCAGGATTGCCTTCTTCTGTTTTCAAAATGTTTGTTAAATAAATTCCTGTAATAGCAAATATATAAAAATGTACAATGTACTATTTTTCTAGTAAACAAATTAAATATTAATAGCATGGAATATTTTAATGTACTATCACGAGATTTTGTGCAGCTGCAAGGAAATGCTGAAGAGTTATTTTGCCAATAAATTGTACTTTCAACAAGCAACCCTTAGGCTTTCAAAAATTCAAAATTTCCCCCTTGACTCATCACTTCAGCATTTCTTGAGATTAATATCTGTATCCTGAAAAGCCAACTTTGATTTATGCAGGAGAAATGAAATTCCATTCTGCTTCTGGGGGGAAAAATGCTGTATAACAAGTTAGTTTTGCTCCAAATAATTACTGACTTAAGTTTTTTTTCATAATCCTTATTTCGTCTATAAAGTCTTTGGAATCACCCCTTAGTTCTTATGTCACAACAGCAAAAGCAGAAACAAACCTAAGTCTAAGTATCTTTTCTGTGTATTCATCTCCACATTTTTCCATTTCTCTGATAGTTCATTTATAAACTTTTCAGCCCATATCAGTTTATAACAAGACATTAAAATAGTCTTCAAGTTACAATGCAACAGGGGACTATGGCTTGACATAAATCTTCAGTACAACTACCCAGTTGTACTGACACAAAATTACAAAGATAGAAAAAAAGGATAGGCAGGTATGCTTCTTCATGATACCGGTAATCCTCAAGTTACAACCATTCGCTTAGCAACCATTCAAAGTAACAACTGTATTGAAAAATGTGACTTATGATCGGTCCTTACACTTAAGACGATTGCAATATCCCCCTGCCCACATGATCAAAATTCAGGCACTTGGTAACCAACATGTATTTATGATAGATGCAGCATAACAGGGTCTTATGATCACCATTTGTGATCTTCCCAGCCAGCTTTCAATAAGCAGAGTCAATTGGGGGGAGGAGAGACAGATAAACTTAACAACTGAAATGATTCACTTAACTAAGGCAAAAAGGTCATAAAAATCTGGTGGTCCCAATTGTGGTCATAAGTTGAGAACTACCTATATAAAAAACGCCTATGATATACGGCACTGTGACAATTACAGCTAAACAGTTCTTTCTCAAAATACAGAGTAAAATATATTATACTGGGCCAAATAAATACAACAATCTGATATATTTTCATCTCTACCTTCAAAATATTTCCAGTTCAGTTACATAGCACATTTATCAATCATCCAGGACATGGTTATCCCAAAGATGCTTTTCAAAAAAACTGAAGAAGCTTCTTGGATGAGAAGTGAAAGGTCTTCAAGGAAAAAAAAACCCCAAGAAAGTCCAGTTGCCTTCTGAAAAGCACCTTTGAGTTATCACACACATATTTTTAAACAATTTAGACAACAATTTGCTTTGATATTAAAAGTTGCAAATACCTGAAAAATCACACCAATTATTTTCACTGAAATGTATTCAAATATATGCTGTTGATATTTAATCATTCTAATTAATAGCAAATTCAGGTAGGACATTTAAACAAAAAACTTTCCCATATACTCATTCTACAGTTCATATTCTTTATCCATTAATATTTGTGATTTTTATCTTTATCACAAGTAAACTCCTACTTACCAAAGAAAGGCACACATGGAGGATTAATGGACCTGAGTTTTGCCAAATATTTCTTATGATGATCTTCACTTAGTTCATGTGCTTCTTCAAATATCTTCTTTTGCCGGCTTGGGATTTGCTGACGATAAAGAAAGGTGAGGATACACTTTGCCCACAAAAAAATTGCTGACTATATGCTACTACAGCTGATTGCCCAGGTTGGCTAAAATGTGTGAATCCGTCTACATGACTCATCCCCTTCCTTTACACAATGCATTCCATATAAAGATCTATAATGTTTAAAGTAGCAATAAGATCTGCCTATATTGTTTTACTTGTTTCCTTATTTAAATAATACTTTTGATCATGAAGAAACCCATGATCCAGACAAAAATACTAAGAGCTAAGATTGGAGTAAGTAGAGGCTTTTTGTTTGTATACCTGGAATTAAATAAACATTTGTGCCACTTTTTTGTTTTAATCTAGGCTTGAGATAATTTCTTATATAGAGAAAAAAGATCTTAAATCATTTTTCTAATGTTCAAATCCAATATATATATTTTTAAAAAATTCTTTAATAAAAAATATCTGGTACCTCACATCCAAGTAGTTTTCATTTTAGATCTGCAATTCACTTACTTCAAAGGTGTGATCCAGTCTGTAAATAGGTGCAGAATTCATAGCACTGACGACTTCAAGAACGCCATTAAAATTGTTTAGCTCTTGAAAAACTTGCAAGATTTCAATTATCCGGCAGACTACCATTACTCTTTCTTCTAGGTTTTCTGTTTCTACAATGCATCTAGATATTCAGAAAGCATAAATTTGGGGGGGGGGGGGATTATCAATAATGATGTAAAAGCATTACCACAGGATTTTTGCCCCCAAGGAAGCATGGCCTAGTATTTTCTAACCACCTAATTGAATTTAAATCCAATTTCTTTTTGAATTAAAAGGAAACTATCATACACAGCAAATGTAATGTACGTTTTTTATAGTATGGAGGGATCAGAGGTACCCAGTTTCAAAAGGTCCTGTCCTGCGTCAATCTATCTGTATACATTTCTCAACTGAAAAGAAAGCAACTAAACTCACTGTAATTGTCATAAACATGAGTCAATTGCCACGCATCTGAATTTTGATGATGTGACTATGGGGATGCTGCAATGATTGTAATTGTGAAAAACAGTGCTAAGTCCCTTTTTTTAGTGCTGTTGTACCTTTGAATGGTCACTAAATGAACTATTGTAAGTCAAGGACTACCTTTATTTCCTGCTTAGAACTCAATCTCTGCTAAGTTACATCATAGGAACCATGCAAATACCAACACTGATCAATGAATCAAATTAGTCTTACTTTTCAAACCATAAGGTAAGATTAGTGGTATGTCTTATCATTTTGAGCAGGTTAGGAGAATTAATTTCTTTATCTTCCTTTGTCCATACACTTCCAACGAGCTCTGATGGCTGCACAGCCCTGTCAAACATAAAATCAAAATGAGCCAAATTAGTTGGCTTTTCATCAAAAACATTTCCAATTAAATCAATAATTTTGAATTAGACTAATAAATGAATTATCTGTGTTTCTTTTGAACAGCTTCTTGTTCACAAAAAGAAAAGCATTTGGTTTTAATATCCAGCTTTCTCTATGGACACTAATAATATTGTAATATGCGAAGAAATTTTGACCTTGCAACCATCGTTTTAATTTTATTAAATAATTCCCAGCTTCTGAAAAGAAATTCTCACTGTTAATGACTGCTGATATTCACCATTAAAAATAGGCAAACATACCTCAGAAAATATAATACTAATAATTCTGCTAGTAAAAATAAATGGCAGACTTATGACATTAAAAAAGTCTATATTTAGCAAGTCTAAATTTTAACCAGGAAACATACATCTCAAAGGAAAAAAGGCATTACCTGTAAAGTTCTGATTCAAGTAGAGTAAGCTGTCGGGCAATTTCAATTGGATGCAAAGTGAGCAGGTCAAATGTTTCAGTTTGTCCTTGCCTGCTGATATGCCACTCAATTGGAGGTGGTGAGCTTTCAAAAGTAATATTGTGACTTGGCCCAATGGCTTGTGCTTGCTTTTTCCTATTAATTATCTTCGTGATTGACTCAACCCATTTCTTCATAGCTTTACCTGAGAATGAGCACAGAAACTGGTTTACGGCACCATGGATCAATTCTAAAAAATATTAAGTGCTTATCTTACCCACAGGCTCATTGGTAAAAGAATGTAAGAATTTCAGCTAGCCCAGCATTACAAGTGTCCAAAATTACAACTGCTATTTGTTTAAAAAAGGAAGCGATGGTTTATGTGAAATCATACATGCAGAAGCGTGTAAGAACTGGCCATACAAAGCATCCTTTGGTATCCTATTTTATTTTAATAATCTCTGAATTAAATTACAACAAAAATTTCCATAACAAGAAAAAAATGCCATGTCACACAGCAGTTCCAGTTAAGACCGCATGGTTTTGTGCAGACCCCGGTGTGCATGATTCACCTCTCCTGCGGGAGCTGCATTGGTTGCTGATTTGCTTCTGGGTGCAATTCAAGGTGTTGGTTGTTACCTTTAAAGCCCTTCATGGCTTGGGACCAGGTTATCTGAAGGAATGTCTCCTGCCAGTCACATCTACCCAACCCATTAGAGTGAGGAGGCAGGGAATGCTGTGGGTCCCATCCCTGAAGGAGATACACCTGGTCGGACCCAGAAGAAGGGCCTTCTCTGTGGTGGCTCCCTCTCTCTGGAACATCATTTCCCCCAGAGATTAGAATGGCCTCCTCTCTAATACTCTTCTGGAAGGCACTGAAGACCTGCTTCTGCCAGCGGGCCTGGGGAACCCAGAGTAGGATGAAGCCAGGGGTGGGATTCAAATTTTGTAACAACCAGGTCTGTGGGCGTGGCTAGGTGGGCATGGCCCTGTGACTGGGTGGGCGTGGCTTCTTTTTTTGGCAGCAACCCCCCATTTTGGGGGCCTTCTGGGCCTTAGGAGAGCCTCCTGGGGGGGGGGTATTTTTGCTCCCAGGAAGCTTCCCTGGGACCCAGGAAGGCAGAAAAATGGAGGGTGTGTGTGTGCCCCCCTCCATTTTTTTGCCTTCCTGGGCATCAGGGAAGCCTCCTGAGCGAAGCAGTAAGTGAGGGGAATCCCGGCACAGCTCATAGGAACAGATCATAGGAACAACTGATTGTTGAGAGGGAAAAAAAAAGAAATACCTTAAGGAGTGAGTGGGTGGGGAAGAACGCAGTCAGTGACATCGAGTATGCGCGCAATGTTGCACATGCATGATAAGGACTGGGTGGAGAGGGGCAGGGCCAGCCAGTTCTCCAAACTGTGCAGAATCATAACAACCAGGTCTATAGAACTGAGCCGAACTGGTAGAATCCATCCCTGGATGGAATCCATCAAATGGCTTGTGTGATCAGCTGTTGTTGCGGCGAGGGGTGGGAGTTGGTGATTTTTTATTTATATTTTTCCAGATTTTGTTCTATTATATTTTATTAATTTATTTGATTCTTTTTGTTAGTTTTTATTGTTTTTTATTTTAAATATGGTTTTACATTCTGTAAGCTGCCACGAGTTGCCATGGGCAAATAGGCGGCAAAATAAATAAATAAATAATGTTCCTACATAAATTAATATATAAAGAATCTTAGATCTTTGTTGTTTTGATCAGGGAAGTCAGTTGGTCAGTCAATGAATCAATAAATCAAATCCAAGTCAATTTCTAGAGGGTTTTTCTGGTGTATTCTACTTATATATCCTTATATTGAATTATGACATGCTGAAGGGTTTATTTTTTTCTAATTATGACTGATTATCTGGGGTTGGGCTGATATTTTATGTTACGATTCCATTAACTAAAATAATTTTAGGTTGATTTTTCTCAAATAAAACTTTCAAATGGATGACCAACAAACCAGGCATAGTTTATTAAAAAGGCCCATAAAGAAATAAATCTGGAGTACTGGAATAATAACTTCACTGTAACACTATGTAAAATAATGAATACATGCTGACATCTCGCTAGCTTCTTCAGAGCAGAAATTCTTACTCTAATAAATTAATAACATGGCTACTCAAATATTAGCACATAGTTACTATCCCACATAGCATTAAATGGAATCTATTTGATCAATAAGGAACACGTATGAAAACTACACTCAATGAAAATATAAGTATTAGATATTGTGGTCATCAATTACCTCTGACTGTGCCAATGAATTCTTCCAATCGTTGCAAAAGATCTACATCTCTCTCAAAATCATAGAAATGATGTTCCACCCAGTGTCGACATACATTTAATACTCTGCAACACAAATGATTAGATATTTGAGATCAATATTTATTTAAATATTTATTGAATATATTTTAAACAACACTTAGTAGGGCTGCAATTTGTGTGCTTACACAAATTGCAGCCCTACTAAGCAACTCATAGATAGAATGAGCACAGATTTATAAGCACTCTTATTTAACTCTGAGCCTGACTGGCCATACTTTGAAAAGGATGAGAACAGGTGAGGAAAGGGCCCTGATTCCCTTCATTAGGCACACCTGGGAAGAGAGTTTAAAGGAGAGGCAGCTGAGAGCGGCTGTTGCTGGGAAAAAACCAACTGGTTTGATTTACTGCTGTTCCTTCACTTCTGGAACTCCTTATCTCGCCCTGCCAGATTAATTACCTCATCTTGCCTTGATTGGACGTATAGTTAAAAGTTTCTGTTGACAATGTTTTGGGCTTGAATCTCTGCAGCCAGAGGCTGTTCCTGGGAGAGTTTTTCTCCAGACCAGAAGGTAACCGGGACACTGGGGGCAATGTTGAAACAAAAAAAAAAGGGATTCCTACTTATTATCTGACAGTGTTGCCTTTGTGCCACGCCCTGGGTCATCACAGTGGTCCATTTCAGGCCTTATGGGCATGGTTTTGGAAGTTATTTCCTAGAAATGATTTTATCTGTTCAGGATACAAGCTGGCCCTCAAATCATTCTCCACTTCAAAATAAAAAACTTGAAAAAAACCTCCATGAACTCTCATGTTATTTAGTTTTTTGCACATAAAGAACCCTGCTAGCTCCTGAATTATATGATTTTCATTGTCAACTAAAGACCTTGTGAGCTGCCCAGAATAGTTGGAAGTTAGGCTGCATAAAAATGTAGTATATAAATAAATAAATTTCAATACTCACCGTAGCTGTACAGGTTGTATATATTCTTTTCTAAATCTTTTTAATTCTGCACTAAGAGGTTGATCTCCATTCTCCATAGCTATACGATCTGCTTCTGTCGGTTCAGGTTCTGGAATTTCAAATCTAATATGGGATGATGTAGAGAAACTTAAATGATTAAGTGTAACACTTATATATTAATTTAGCAAGATGGAAAATACAAATTGCGATAATCAATACAGGGAAGCATTTTTTCATCATTCAGGAAGTCACAGGGAGTCAGGAAACAGGACAACCCAACAGAATTATAATTCTGAAAGTTAGCGCAGATGCAATAATACTAACTACCATGTTTTCCCAAAAACAAGACCCAACCAGAAAATACACCCTAGCACGATGCTTCCAGATGCTTGCAATATAAGCCCTACCCAAAATATAAACCCCAGTTAAGATCGTCATCCAGACGGATGCATTTTAATACTGTATTTCCCCAAACATAAGACCTAACCAGAAAATGTATCTTTTGGAAGAAAAATTAATATAAGACCTGGTTTTATTTTGGGGGAGACACAGGTATGTCTTTAGCAAAGGAGTAGCAATAGCATTTAGACTTGTATTTCGCTTTACAGTCCTCTCTAAACAGTTTATAGAGTCAGCATATTGACCCCAACAATCTGGGTCCTCATTTTAACAACCTCGGAAGGATGGAAGGCTGAGTCAATCTTGAGCCTGGTGAGATTTGAACTGCAAATTGCAATCAGCCAGCAATTAGCGGAAGTAGCCTGCAGTACTGCATTCTAACCATTGCGCCACCAACGCTCTTGCCAATGGCATTTTAATTGCAAATACAAGTGTTTACATTTGCAAATAAGTGTAATACGAATGTATATTTATTATTAAAATTATTTTATTTTACTGATTAAACCTTACATACAAATAGGAAATGTGAAGAATACTAATGATTTATTTAAAAAATATATTTTAAGTGTACCAAGTTCATTTTAAAAAAACACATTCCATGACTTAATATACTAATTGGACAATATAATTTGTCTTATATTGTGCTACTGCCTACAATCTTGCCAATTCTGATCCACACTGTAGACACTGCTGTATGGGATTGTTGATATATCTTATTTTTTATGAAAATAATCTGGAATGGAGGTAAGCTTAAGACAAATCATAAACTTTGCTCAAATAATCTTTGATTTATTTGGAGAAATAATTCATTCTGAGGCTAAATGTCACATTAAGTTGGGGAAATAACAATCTCCTTCTGAAGAATAAGCACTTTAAAAAATCTCAAGAAGGAAAAAAGTCGTAAGACAGTATTTCAGAAAGATTCACTCACCTTTCTATCAGGAGACTCAGTAACTCCTGAGGCTTACAAAAAGATCTGTATGTGGTAAGAAATGTTCGAACAAAATTGGGATCTAGAACAGAAAAAGAATGACTTAGGCAGCTTATGAAGGAAGACCTGTGATGATAGCTAAAAGCATCCACTATTACAATGTAATGCAGACCATATAATAGCAACTATGCTTTAATGATGACTGAGGAAACAGGAAAAGGATATTAATTCCTGACAGATTTCAGGAAACAATTCAAGATAAGCAGAAGGATACTCAGTTCAGGACATTCTCACTTAAGGGACTTGTTAAGCCAAGCTAATGACAAGTAATGGCATTTTCAGAAGACTGGTCTTTTCTTAGTTTCCCAGGGAACTCAACACAGGAGGCTGAATGTAAAAGAGTAAAAATAAAAAGCATGCTTAAACAGGAAAGCACACTTCTTGGTGCAAAAGTAGACAACTGGAAGTCCTTCTGATGTACCGAATTCTCATGAAGCCCATCTACCATGTCCAATATGAGTGGAACTGTAAAGGGGCACAGCTGAAAATGAGCAACGATTGTCTTTAGCTTTCATCTCAGAAGTGGAACAATGGCAGAGAACATCATTTCAGAATAAACAACCCTTTCAGGAAACATTAAACAATCTGTTTCAAGCTGGAGGAAAAAAGTGGAAGGTATTTTACTCCTTTTTATTATCTGCAATGATTGGCAACTCTTGCAGGACTGAATTTAACTTCACCTATTTTAATATACTACATATTGAGAAATCGACTTACTGTTGCTGCCTTTCTTTGCTTTCCCAACTAGCCTGGACAGAAAATGATTTGGAAAAAGAAAAAAAGAACCCTTCATCTTACAGCTTATGTAGACATCCCTTTTTAATTCAGTTATTTATATTTCTCATCCCTTTAGAGAGCATTGAAAACATTTTTCCTACCCATGAAGATAATCCAAGTAGATAGAAACTGTTTGTCAATTGAATCCAGTTATGAAGAGGAGGACTTCTCTCAGTTCATTGATTTATGGAAACAGGGCATATTCAGTTTTCCCAGTTCTGCCCACTAATATAAGAATTTCATCTTACTATCTCTTAGCACTAGTTTGTTATGTCTGCATTATAACGAGCCAGTTATAGTAGCTTTTACTCAGGTTTCTTCAGCATAAGAAGGAAAGGGAGGATGAGAAAGTCATTCAAAGGCCTATTAATGCTCATGGATGGCTAAGACACATGTGTTAATTCTGCAGTAGAATCAAGAGAAAGCCTGGCCATTTGCACCCACTACACATGACAAAATGTTACAGTCAAATTAGATGTAATACTTTTAACAATATTTACATTTTAAAATCTTAGTTTCAACGTAGCTACATAGCAAGTGCATTTTTCTTACTGGATACTGTTGCTACAAGACTTCAAGCAGCCATATATTTGGATCAAACATGTACACAATTAACCAGGATGCCCATCTGTGATAAATGTCTCTTCAACACAGGCATTTTAAAAGCTATAAAAGACCTTCTAAAAATAATAATAATTCCTGAATGCCTTAACAAAGGAAATTGATGCTATGCTGACGCACATGCATTCAATGTACCAAAACTTATAAATAGAATATCTCAACCTTACCAGAAGAAAAAAGTTCCAAGATTTTTTTTTAAACTGGAAGTACTGTATTCACTCAAGAAACATAGGAGCTTATAAAAACAGAGGAGCTGCTTATATTATACATGCCAGAATATGAAGAAAGATGAAACAAGTTTCTGAGTATGAATAAAAAATCTCTATTACTATCTACATAGAATTCATAAGTCAATCAGCCTGACTTTTTTCTCCCATTATACATCAATTTCCATATATTAATTACAAACAAAATCATGAATGCAAAGAAATTATTTCATTATCTGTTCTGCAAGGAAATAAGCTACTGGCTCTTCTCTACCTACCAAATGCTAGAGTCAGACCTATCAACAATAGAATAATGAAGTTCTGGAAATCAAATCCTGTTTTTCTAAAATACAGCACATATTGCCATCCTTACATGTAACTAGACACTGTGATTAACTGCTTCCCAATTCTTGCTTCTTTGGAAGCTTATAACCATAGTTTTTGCTTGATCATAATGAAGTAGTGCTAAACAATAGTTCATTCTAATGATGGATTCCTGAAATAGCTACTGTAGCTGGATCACACATAATTTAAGCAAATCCCAAAGAGATCATGTTTAATGCAATGCGAGGCGATGTTTTATGGAGTTTTATGTTGTGGATTTTTAAAGTTGTAATCCATCTAGAGACAACTGGGTGTGAATTGGGCAGCCATATTCAATGAATTGATGGATGGATGGATGGATAGACAGACAAATACTGTGGAACCAGCCTTGTGTATGATCAGATAAGAGCAGAACAGCGGCAAAAGGTTTAGGTACACAAGGAACAGCACAATTCTACCATCATATACACTTTTGATAGTAGTAAGCACTAGGACATGTATCTTCATAAACATTTCAGTGAAACAAGGATCATGATTTCTTAAAAGTAATCCAATTGTTATACTCTGTCTGTAGCAGAGAGGTATACTGAAGTTTAGCCAAACATCTCTTTTCAGATTCTTAGTCCAGATTTTAGCAAGTGAAAGGTAATACAGTGAAATGCATAAAGCTAGATATATGAAAGATTGTAATATTAGCATTTGTACTATTAATATTTTGGACCAAAACAGTGTTTGTATAATTTCTGTTATCCCAAGCCAGACCAGATGGCCAATGAACAATCAAAAAATACTTTTGAAAGGAAGTTCTTCTAGAGAATGGTAATTTCCGGCTCCCACCCATTTATGTGCAAATGCTGTTCAAACACAATGACGAAATAAATATTAAAAAAGAAAAAGAAAATATAGGCCATTTTGATTCTGCATAAAGAAATAAAAATAATAATTTATTTTTCATTAATGGTAGACTTTTTTGCAATACTTTTTTCCCACTCCCATTGTCATTTTCAAGGATGAAGGTGCCATTCTAAGGGTTTTTCAGAACAATACTTATGTCTCCTAGTTGATGGGAGGCAGGAAGTTGTACTTCGGCCTGCAAGTAGTTCCCACATTAGAGGTATGTAGTGTGGGTATGATTAGGAAAAATCTGGGCTTTGGTCATCTTTGGGCCATAGGGGTCAAATATGCCCACATGACTAGCACTATGCTTGTTCTAAGAAGATTACAGAAAGACATGTTAGCTACCTATCAGACAACAGGGCAGAATTGTTTCAGAAGACAAGAACTCATCAGTTTAAATTACAAGAAAGCAGACATCATTTGGACATCAAGAAAAAAATTATAAAAATATAAAAACTGTTCCACAATAGAACAGACTGTCAGAGGATGTTGTAACCTTGCTGGGGGTATTTCAACAAAGGCATGTTTGATCATCTATTGAACATACTGTAACAGATTGTTGTTGAACAGGAGGTTGGACTAGATTATTTCCAAGGTCTACTCCAACACTTATATTCTGTAACTGTATGCAGATTATCTGAGAAAATATGAATTTGAAATATGAGAGTCTATTTATATGTAGATGTAGGTCAATAGAATGAATCTAAATGTAAAAACATAAGTGGTTTATGATTAACTACTATGATAACTAGTGAAAGATACAGGAGTGATAAGTTCTAAATGTGGGACAGATCATTTTTGGCAATCTCAAGAAAATACATGTTTGAATTAAGAAGGCACTCACAGCTCACCCACACCTGCTCCAAAATACCTTGTAGCATTTGACTGTAGCATTAGAGAAACAAAATTATAAAAAAAGATTGAATTACAAAATGTTTTACACGCATGTGAAATTTAAAGCTGGTTGCTGAATGTAGCAAGAGTGCTACAGATAATACAAGTAAAGCATACAAATGAATAAATGGAATGCTTAGGTATACCATTGAGCAGGGAACAAGATATATGCACATGTTCCCTTTGTCACTTATTTACAGATAAATGTGCAATGAATGCTTTTGGTGGTTACAGATGTGATGGCTGGGGAGTTTTTATGCAGGTGATGCTTTGCTGTTAATGGAAAATTTCTTTTATAGCAAAAGTTAGGGTAAATGATTCACTAAGGAGTATGCTTCTGAAAACTAACATATATAAACATATAAAAACCAAGGCTCTGTTTAAGGAAGAAAAATGGAATAAATCAGTGCAAGTCATACCTAAGTATAAAAAAAAACTAGAATAAATCAATAAATTAATGGGCTTTGTTATTTAATAAGCTATTGCTTATTAAAATAAAACAGAAATTTTAGGATATACAAATGTTGGTAAAAAGATACTGTAATGGGCAGTATGTTGTCTGTTGCAAGAAATAAATAGCTATCAGATGAGAGCTTGGTACAAAAATGAGTGATCACTATGAAAAAAAGTACATTAGAAGGTTTGGCATTCAGAAACAATTAATGAAAATCAGACCACAAAACAAATACACAACAGAAGAATGAACAGGTTGAGAAGAAAGGGAAGACTAAAAAAGTTTAAGCGACGGAATTACAATTGAAGTGCAGAAAAATAAAGAGGTAAAAAGCCAGAGAAAAGCAATGTATGAAGCAGCATATAGACAGATCAGAAACAAAGATAGCTAGGCACAGAGATATATGTTGAAGAATATTGGTGTAAGCTAGTTTTACCATAGTTTCTTTTACTTTCTTTTTTAATTTCATGTTTTAATTTCTTTGGCTTACTATTTCATATTCTCCTTTGTATTTGATGGCTTAAATTGCCCCTCCAATTCTGTACGTCTTTTTCTTTTGATGGGAAATATTTTTAGTCTTAAATTTTCAGAATACACACAAACATGTTAACAGTTGGGCTAACTTAACATGCTATCTAAAGTTTAAGGATATATTTCCTTAAGAGTTGGCATGCAATTCTATCAAGCAATGTGGTTTGCCAGCCTCCCAGTTCCTTATTATCATGTCTCATCTTATTCAGATATAAACATGCCTAAACTCTTGGGAATTTTAAACAGCATTTGGACAGATATGTGCAAATGGAATATGGTAGAAGAGGCAAAGAGGGGCAGTAGCAGAAGGATTTATGGCTAGTGGAGAAAGATAGGAGGTTGCAACCTGGATTGGAAACAAGAGAGGGTGACAGGACAAGTCAGAAAAATGATTTTAAAAGAAGAATGTCAAGGTAAATGTACTGGAGTTTGTGGGAAGGACCAGAGGCAACAACAGTTGAGGCAGAGAGACACAAATTTCTATAAGAAACAGAATTAAGGAAAGGAGACCTCCAGGACCGTGATGGTGAACCTACGGCAGGCATGCCGGAAATGGCATGCAGAGTCCTCTCTGTCGGCACACGAGTCATCTCCCCAGCTCAGTTTCACTGCACGGCGCACCTCCTGTCAGCCAGCTGATTTTCGGGTATCTGCCATGCATGCGCGGGGCAGGGCACATGCGGGAAACACATGCGCAGGGGGGAACACAGGGTGTGTGTCATGTGCGCATAATCTTTAATGCCTGTTTATGTCTGATAGATTTACAAGCATATCTTACATATCTTCTTTATAATTTAATGCAAAATTAAATGATCCAGCATCTAAGGCATAGTAGCTGAGCAATATCACTTTGGTAATAATATGTTCTTAAAATTAAGAAGATGGCCAACAAAGTAAACAAAATCTATTTAAGGTACAAGGTAGAGATCTGATTTTTTATTTGTATCTGTATGCTTTGACCTTGTGATGCTGCTGATATTTTATTTTATTTTTTAATGGAATGTCCTTAACCTGTTGTTGCCTTTACTTTTATTGAAGGGATTCTTTTTATGTTTTGATTTGCTAGTCCCTTTGAATGAATGGCAGACAAATCTAGCAAACAAAATTAAACCCAATCCAACCTTTCTGGTTCTACTGGTATACAGAGACAATTAAAAAATAACTCAGATATTTTAAAGATTTGAAAAGATTTCTTACCAGCATACATGTGGAATGTAAGCCTCTCAATCAGTTTGACAACAGTTCCTGCCTTAATAATTGGGATTCCAGATTTGGGCTGCATGTTTTCTTCAAAAACAATATTTTCTGTAGAATCAGGTTCTGCAAATCTATATAGCTCAGGACTTGGAAATCTCATCTGCTCCTCTTTCTCTTCTTGCAACATTGTTACATCTAACATGCGCTCCAGGGTACTTCTGTATTGTAAAGAGATCAAGGCTGCCATCCAGTTGTTCTTCTCTTCAGCCGATTTAGCAGCAAAAATAACACTGTTCTCATCTTTTAAAATGATTTCAAAAGCATGCTTGTACTCGTTAGTGTTATCTTTATCATTGATCTGTACCTTTCGCATAAGAAATTTCTCTTTCAGACGATATTCTGCATTGCTAGCACCAGGCAGTCTTGGTTGGCCATGATTTGACTTACAACAAATCATCAAACCATCAAAGAGAAATATATGTCTTTCATGTTTGGCACCCACACGTGTGAGTGTTCCCTCCATAATAAATTCATTGCAGCACTGTCCAATGTCTTTTCCTTCCCATCCATCTATATTCTTCTGGATCTCGTTCATTTTCTTGATTGCTAGCTGCTTCCCCTTCATTTGTTGACTGTAGAATCGGCATGCAGATTCACTTTGAAAGAGGAGCAAGATGATACAGTAACAATCACATATTTGGCAGAAAAATAACAAGTTTGTTGACCACTAATGAGGAAAAGAGTTTAATAAGATCTAGAAGATGATAGAAAAAAACCCAGCAAGTTAGCTTCAACTGTATGCAGAAAATTTCAGATCTGAAAGCGCTGTCATGCTTAAAAATGTAATTGACAAATCAACAGATTCCAGTCAGTTAGACTTATTTAACTGTCAAGTAGCAATTAATACTTTCTTAACAAATAAAAATATGAATATTACTTTCCATTTTATGTATTACATTAAGATGTCCTAAACCATTATCAAATAGGTTAGTACAAAAACTGTTAAATGCTCTAAATTAATCTGCAAGATATTTTTGTTTGGATAATAGTTAACTAAAACTATTTTTTCTTTCAGCTTACCAGTAGAGTCTCAAGATGCATTTACTAGAAGCATGAAGGCAAACACACATACAACTTTACAACAATAGCTATCCGGACTTTGATGTCACTTCCTCTGAAAAATCATATTGTTTCAACTATTTTGTTCATTGTTTACTAAGAAAGGAAATTGAGAAATCCAGATCTATAGCACACTACTCCAGGACTAAAAAGTAGGGAGAAAACAGAAGTGCGTTTACCTAAGCCTTCTCTTCGCAAGACTTTTGGAACAAATCCTTTCCATACTACTCTGAAGATTAAGCAGAGCTGTAATTGCTTGCTTCAAGCATTCTTTATCTTCTTCATCTTCACTCTTCTCTTCTAATTGCTATGAACAGGAGGACAATTTCTGAGTATAAAACCTTGCAGATCAGTTTTTATCTTTCAGATAAAAGGCACTTCTTTTTGATGTAATTATGTTTGTAATAATCTAACAAATAATAATAATGCTATGAGAGGAAAGGGACAGTTTATCTACATAAAATTTCCTGGTGTTTATATAGAAAATTCAATATTATTTTCACAGCACTGCCAGATATTACCTGAGAATGGATGAAAAATGAGAAAATCTTTCACTACACTAGTTCCTTGTCGGCTTTTTGTCTCAAAACATATAATCAAATGAGCCACTTTTAACAGGCCAGTTTGCGTTGGTGGGAAGTGAGAGATAACATTGACTACGGAAAGGAATGGAAGTGGTGGAAGGAAGTGGGTAGGAAGGAGAAGAAAACAGTATTGAAATTCTCTCAATTCACTTTGTTTTAGATCTTTTTTCAAAATAATAATTTTATTAAAATTATAATTATATTAATAAAAAAATTATACCAAATGAAAAAGAAAAAAGAAAAAAATAGAAGTTGCAGAAAGAGAAAACAAACAAGAATAAAAATAAAAAGAACTACATCATGACTCAGAAGATTCATAACAAAAAGAAACAATTGTACTAATTTATCAGCTTTTCTTAAAATACAATAATCTTTTTCTTCCCATGAAAAGATTATCTGTGAGCAAATTCCTCAAACCTTGTAATTTCAGTCCTGATCAGCAAAAGACCATTAAAAATTATCAGAGACAATAACATATCTTAAACTTGATCAAAAAGCAACTTTATATCCCTTCATTTTACTTTTAAGTCTTCATCTTTAGTCCTTTCAAATCATGTCCTAGACTTTCTTTTCTTTCCTTGCACTTGTCACAAAATTCTTCAAAGGTATAACTCTTCTGTAAATCCAATATAGGAAAATTATCCAGGTCACTCTCCTGATTTATTATTTATATATCTCTTTTCATTACTAAGGCACCAGTTAGTTTCTTTTGTATGTTGATCCTTTTCCACATCATTTTGTAGATTGTTGTTTTTAAATCCACTTTCAGATCAGCCTCAATTTTGTCCAACAAAACATGTTCCCCTTCCATAATATCTTTTATGGAGACAGTTTACCTATAGAGGCAGACAACTCTTAAAATTAATTTCTGGATCCATTGCTCAAAAATATCCCTCAATATGTCAATCATTAAAATATTTCTCCCCATGTTGCTTTAATAAGTCAAATTTACGTGTTCTTCTCCTTTAATTGTAATTGTAAGTTCCTTCTAGTTCCCTCTAGTATCCAACCTTCATACTCCCATCCTGTCATGTGTTTTCGTGAAAGAATTCAAAGCAAAGGCACTTTCCTACAGGATTATTATTATTAATTCCAAATCTTATTTCAAATCATCTGGACCCTTTGTAACTTTCCAAAACCAAGTTATCTCCTTTGTGCTGCTTATTCAAAAATAAAATGTTCTTAAAAACTTGTTTTGCTGAGAATTGAAGGAAACTCACCAGTGAGTTTGTGATCCAGATTCTTAATAGCTAAAAAACAATTCACAAGCAATTTCCATAAGTGATTAGAAAAGAAAGTATGTAAATTCTGAATGTGCCAATTATGGTTTGAACAAGGTGGCTATTCGCTGTCTCCCAGAACTCTAAACCCACAAAAGGCAACTATCTTGAGAGTCTCCTTGCAAGGAGCAACTGTCTGGAATACTTGCAGGCGATCTCAAGTCCTCTCCTTCTCCAGAAAGGAATTATGAAAGCCCAATCTACTTGCCGGCTCTTCATTTTGCCGATCCTTGGCTTCACTTTTGCACAGCTGTCTTGAATGAACAAATTCTTCACTGCAAGTTCACTTTACTATGGATCTTCACAAACCTAGCACTTTTCTGCAAATGCTTATGTGTTTTACTGACTGCAACGGAAGAAATTTAGAGCAGTGGTATTTTTTTAATGAGGAATTAGAAGGAGTTCTGAGGTAGGCAGGAGAATTTTGAAGTCTACACATGGTCTGCCTAGCAGACATCTTCTTAGTAAATTAAAAAAAAAACCTTTGTTTCCACAATAAACTCCCTAATCAACAGTACAAAGTACTGTACATCAACACTAACCAGTACCTAAATAAGAAAACTGCAAAAATACAAAACAACTTTTAAAATAGAATATAGTTAGATTTATAGTATACTATTTATTTTTCTTACATGTGGAGTTTTTAGAGTTTCAACATAGAAAAGAAAGTGGTGTAAAACTGCTGGAATAAAAGCAGGGAGATCTAGTGCTGTGGATGAGTTTGGACCAGCCATCTTCTCCAAGCACAATCTATTTCACAGAATGGATGTTTTTGAGAAAAAATGGGGAAAAGTCTCATGTATTCCTGGATGAAAGGTGGGATGTAAGTCCAAATAAATAAGAAACAAATTCTGAATTTATAACACTGATAAAGTAACATTTAGCAAATTTTGAAGTCTTTAAACAACAATAAAAAAGAATTATCTTTAAATTTTAGTTAATATGATACAAATCATAATAAGAAACAGCATACATGAAGAGAACACTTAAATTCTTCTTCCTCATTTCCCACTTTATGAATTTTGCTACTGAACTAGCAGTATCAAGCTCAACATACATATTGAAATTCCTGAAAATGGAGAACTTCTTTAGGGATATACCACTGACAGTTTATTGAAAACTTCATAGCAATAGTACTTAAGACTTATATACTGCTTTATAGTGCTTTACAGCCCTTTCTAAGAGGTTTACAGAGTCAGCATATTGCCCCCAACAATCTGGGTCCTCATTTTACCCACCTCGGAAGGATGGAAGGCTGAGTCAACCTTGAGCCTGGTGAGACTTGAACTGCCAAATTGCAATCAGCCGGCAGTCAGCAGAAGTAGCCTGCAGTACTACACTTTAACCACTGCAGTTCATAAATATTAGATGGAATTATTTTTTCTTACCTTTAAAAGTTCAAAATAGTGAAGACAATGGTAAACAGGAACTAGAAGTAGCCTAGGTAAAACATACTGAACAGCTTCTTTAAAACCATATCCAATTGACTGGAAATTAAAAAAAAAGTATTTCAGTGTTACAAGTAAGTCTTATGATACCTACAATATCCATTATATAAATGCATTACTTAACATACCTGCAAATAGAAGGCTGCTCCGGGCTTTGATAACTGGCTAAGAAAATGATCATGAAAGCCAGTCCGTAAAATATCCTGAGTGTATGATTCATAAGGATCAAATGCTAGCTCCTAAAGAAAGGTTAGAAGAATATTTCAATTATCTCATTGTCAACATACAGTCAAACATTCATCAATCTATATATCATTGCTTTAAATTAATGAAAAAAATATCTGACACAGACATAGGGGGGGGGAGAGAGGGTGTTTTTTTTTTTCAATGTACCATATTCTTATTTCTACACAATGTACTATATTTTTATTTCTATACAGAAAGTTATTGGTGTTTTTGTCTTTCAGTGTTTACAGAAATAAAATGGTTTAAAGTGGTAATGATTACAATCTTTTAAATTAAAAATCTGAAATCACAATATGTAGACCCAATAGTAAACATAAAGCTACATTAAAGATTTCAGATATTTACTAGGCATTTTCCAGTTCCAACAATAATGAATTAAAATTTTTATATTTAATTAAATTTGGGCGGAGGGTCAGTAGCAGAGCAGAACGAGGGGATTTTCTTGAGTTTTTATATAAAGAATGTATAAGAGGGAAAATAATTACTGAATTCCGAAGTGATGATTTCCCCCTAAAAATGTGTACATAAAGAGAAATGATTCTTATCATGCTTGTGTATCTGACCTGAACCTTCACTGGAACTAGAAAGTTGCAATTACTGTTGAGTAAACATTGACATCTGGTCCCTATATGTCAATGCATTTTCCTTAGTGACAATATGAATCACTTATGTCATTGCTGGGATTATTTTATTTCACCTCCTGCTAGCAATAGCAATAGCACTTAGACTTATATACCCCTTCACAGTGCTTTTTTCTAAGTGGTTTACAGAGTCAGCATATTGCCCCCAACAATCTGGGTCATTTTACCTACCTTGGAAGGATGGAAGGCTGAGTCAACCTTGAGCCTGCTGAGATTCGAACTGCCAAATTGCAGGCAGTCAGCAGAAGTAGCCTGCAGTACTGCACTCTAACCACTGTGCCACTGTTATAGTTTTATAGAACTTTTACAGGTAGTCCTTATTTAATGACCACAATGGTGACCAGAGTCTTGGATCTTAAATGAAGTGGTCATGAGATGCCCATGTGACCATTTTGCTCAACAACCACAATCCCAAGACTCCTTGTTGCAACTGTTAAGCAATCTCATGGGTCATTAAGCGAATGGAGTCATTCTTCATGCCTACTGCAAGTCCAGAGGGATTTTGAGCTCCGTGCTTGCTCAAATTTCACAGCCAAGGTCCATGCCTGGACTTTGGAGTCCTTCTATCACCACCTCTGCAGAGACACAGCAAGCACAGATCAGCAGGGAGCTCTTTCAGCCAGCCCCAGAGAGGAAAGAGTCTTCTTGACAGACAGGGGCTGCTTGCAACATTCCCTGCCAGCTTCTCCATAGACTTTCTGGGGAGGATGGCAGAGAACCGCAAAGGGTGATGATGCGATCATGGGGAACTTGGCAACTAGTTGTAAATGTGAATAAATTGCCAAGTACCCAGATCACTATCGTGTGACTGCATGGTGGTATAATACAACATTTTGTGACAGTCAGAAGTGCTTCACAGGTCGTCAAATATCCAAGACCATAGAGACTTTGAACAATTATTAAATGATTGACTGTTAAGTGAGGACTACCTGAATTGTTTGATGGATTCCTATTAAAATGTCAATCAGATCTGACCTTGCTGTCAACCCTGAAGCTGACCTGACCAAGGCCATTTTGATGCTTCAGTGTTGCTACACGGGAGCTGGGGAATACAGAAAATGGAATAGAGATAGTTGGGGTTTGTAGCCAAAACAAAATAGTTTCTCCTGGGAACCAAGGACATTCCCACAGATGGCCGGAGAGAGGAGAAGTGAAGTTACCAAGCAACTGGACGATACCTTGATTGGACCATGTGACTGGTTGTTTGGTGAAGGGAGAAAACTTTTACTTTTAATAAGGTGAAAAGCACGGGAGCATTCAGAGTCCGTTTTCACCAGCCTGTGCCAATATAATATATCCAATACGATATATTCATTGGTATGACTGTGGCCAGTCATTCCAATGCCAAGATCCAGCCACTCTATGGCCTGCTTGTGATTTGAAGATCAGCAGGCACAATCTTCTCATGACTGTTGGAAAGTCATACAAGTTTTCTGAAAATTTTACAAAGCATTGTGAGAATGGTTTGAGTGGCTTTGGGTAGAAGGCCTAGCATAGCCAGCAGCTGCTTTGCAAGAGTCATGTGTGACTTGTCAGCACCAACAGTAAGATGGTGAAGGTCCAGTAAAGTGTCTTAGTTCATCTGGAGGCTAAATATCGCATTACTATAACTTTGTATTTTTACAGGGCCTATGGAGTGCAAGGAAGTAGTAGCAGCAGAGGCCTTCTGCTGTGGTGCCTGGGCCTGGGATGGGGCTTGAGGTGGCACTCATTGTCAGTTCTCGAGACTCTGGGGCTGAAGTAGAGGCCCAGTGGTGGTTAACTGAGATTGCTGAAGACCCCAGGTCTTTCGTTTGGTCCCAGCACCAAGTTATGCTACTGTGCAGAGAAGCCAAGAGGGCAGAGATAGGGAGATAGGTGAGTTGGAGTAGTGAAAGAAGAGGTAGTCCCTTAGTTCACTGAAGCTCAGGCTGAAAAGGATCAAGCCAGGAATGGCTTGGATCAAGATGAGTCTTTGCCTAATCAGTGGGACACGATAATGATGGCCACAAAGACTGCCAGTATTAATGTCACTAAGTGATGCAGGTATGTGATATCATGCTTTATAGTCACATCGCTTAGTAACAGAAATTCTGATTCCCAATTATCATCATAATCTTCAAGCCAACATAAGTATAGCTCCCCTTTAGGATCTATACATTCAAGAGATCATTCTGGAGAAAGGTAGGGGCTTCAACTGTGTTCCCTTTCTCCTGAACTCTCCATCAATTTGGACAAATGACAGGAAAGGGCTTTAGGTCTAGAAAGCAATGAGATACTAGAAAGTAATGAGATATTATTGTATTATTGTACAATATTAATGTCTGATTACATTATTCAGTTCCGCTCAGTAGCCTAGTTTTATATATCATAGTAAACTAAATAGGATGGCACTAAGACTTCACTGCAGAATTCTAACTTCTCAAATGACTAAATGACTCAACACCTAGCTTTATCAAGGCTTCAAGAAGTCCAAGAAAATCAAAATAATCACACTTCCTCTGTCTTTCATACAACAAAAATTATTCCATAGGGCAACTAAGATTGAATGCCTAAAACAAACATTGGATCAAAAACAAAAGTTTAACTTGTATCTGAAAGTAATCAATCACTGTTTGAATAAAGCATCTTCACCTTTTATTAATAGGGTTGGGAAAAAGTTTGATTTGAAGATTCAATTTAAAGATGATTTTATTAATCTCCAAATCAGATTAATCATCAAACTGAATCAGCTACCTTCAAATCTATTCAATAGCTTTTGCATGCCAAAGAGTCCCCCCCCCCCAAAAAATAGAATCAATGTTATGTATAAGACTGAAACTGATCCATAAATCCCTAATAACTTTTTTCGTGAAAATGCAAACACAGACAGCACAATCTGCTAAATAGTTAAAAAGTATAGCAATGTTATACTTCAACCTTGGGGCCAAAAGTAACTGTTGACAACATATTACATTTTAAAAAAATGTATGATTATACCCAAGTCAGAAAAACAGGAAAATAGAGCATAGTATTATTCATAAATAATATTACCTACCTCAGCTAAATCTTCAAAACAGCTTCCTACTAATGGATGGGGACTGCCTTCATCAGTCATTTCTACTGTATCTTCAATATGGCCTAGCAATTTCACACTAAGTTCATGAATATCTGATACTCGGCTGAATATATTTTCTACATCCTGAAAAACAAATACATTGATAAACAATATACAGAAGTAGGAATTGAAATATTTAAATACTAAATGTGTTGATCATGGGACATTCCACATAGGAATGTGGTTGAATGAAATAGTATTCTACACAATGGGTCTTCATATTCAGCGTTTACTATTTATCTCATTTATTCTCTTCTTAGCCCGCATAGACACTCTTCCCACCTTAGATACAAGGCTTTTCAGATTTCTTCTTTAATTAGATTTGCACTTCAAACTCAAAACAGCAAGAAGAAACAAAACAGAAAAGGTTTTTTTTCAACTTGTGGTTGGTAATCTAACTTGTTTATAGTCAAGAATTAATCATAAAGGGTGTGTGTGTGTGTGTGTGTGTGTGTGTGTGTTATATATATATATATATATGGTATTCAGCTTTGTTCAGGTATTTTCCCATGTCATTATAGTTGTGCTTTTAAAGTTGTAGCAATGTTTCAGCGGAATCTCATCTGCCATCATCAGGCTTCTGTATTGTGTTCGTCTGTGAGTCAGACTTTCACAGCCATTTCTGTTTTAAATTTGGTGCTAGCCTACTGCTGTGTTAGAATGTTTTTTCTTCATCCTGGTTGGTTGGGAGTCTTGGTCTGTGTTTATTG